ATAGGGTCACCCCCCATTACATGGGACTTATAACATAAATAGTTAAAAGTGGGTTTTACATTGTACAGCGGTATTAAGTGCTGAAATGCAGTGGCATGCAGTTATACACTATTCTCGTATCAGAGGTATTGATTGTGCTGTGTATAGAGAAATTTAAATACAATTTTACTCAAAGGAAAAGAAAAGCCATTGTATTCGGCATAGCATAATGCCATCGGCCTTTGAATAGATGACCAAAGGTATGTAATGATGGTTGATGGTAAATTACTTCACATAAAAACAATAATTAATTTATACATATACAGGTAAACAGTACAAATTCCTACGACTAAAAGTCTCAGTATCTGAATCAAAGTCATCTATATTACGGCTGCGTCGCTTCCGCGTCTCCGGCGGAAACGACAGCTCTCGTGTGATTAACTAACTACAAATGCTGCCTATGTATTCGTACTTATGTTCTGTATGAAGTTAATCTATTCATCTCTAATTTGTAGATGAATGTATCTTGATTTAACAAGGATTTATATGGGAGAGTATTTATCAATCAGACTATCTGAAAATCATTGGTGAGCCCTCTATGTTCAGAGGCCTCAATACGAGTCTGTTTTACGCTTAAAGTAATCGTAACGAGTACGCGTTCGGCGCTCTGATTGGTTGGTTCATTGGCGCCGGCTAATCTGACGCCTTAGTACGAGTTTCATTTACGTTTAAAGTATTCGTAACGAGTACGCGTTCGGCAATCTGATGGTCCGGCGCCAATGAAGCAACCAATCAGAGTGCCGAACGCGTAATCGTTACGAACACTTTAAACATAAATCAAACTCGTACTAAGGAGTCGGACCTCGGAGGACGTCTTGTAGGTGATATGGTGAATAGGGGAGATAACGGAAGACGATGCCATGTTATAGGGACTTTAAATAACTTAAAAGGACAGAAATAAATACAAGAATGCGCTCAAATTGTGAAAATGACGTGGTAGCCCGGAGGTTTAAGACCCCCGCTTCTTATGCATGAAGGTGCGAATTCGAAACCCACTGACGGAAAGTACCAATGTGTTTTCTTCCGAGTTGTATTTTTTAAATTAGTAAAATTATACGTAATTTTTAAGATTATTAGATACCGCTGACAAACGGTGAATGAAAACACCGTGCGGAAACCTGGGCTTATAATTTCAAATTATAAGTTTGAAATCGCTAACCCGCATTGAGCAAGCATGGTGATGAATTTTCAAACCGTCTCCGTGTGAGAAAAGGCTTTGCTCAGCAGTGGCCATTTATAGACTGTTGACGTGCTCAAATTGTGTCATCAGTCAGGGTTGAATGTGAAGTGTTCTATTGAAGGTTCTTTACATACGATTATTGTAAAACATTCCTTTAGAAATGGTAAACAAAGGGTGATAGAAAAGTGACGTCAATAATAATTTACTAGTGCCACTTTACTTACGCTTATTTTAATACCTGCTGTATTAGTCATTAGTAAAGATATCATATTATGTTCATATGACCTAGAGACTAGTGTAAATATCGATATTTATAGTGTTCACCCTGTTCCTAAATAGGCCGTAGACAGACATACCTTTTTTTTAAGGAGGGAAAATCATTGAATGACTTCTCCCGCCTGGATGAGGCGGTGTCTCATCCGTTTGATGAGGGAGTGTCAGACTCTAACTGACTAAAAACCACCCCGTTCTTAGTCCTGCACTTCGAACCGGAGCCCCGGTAACCCGTTAGGTTCTCCGCGGCTCTGCATCAGCCCTATTGGACTCTACCCGTGGTGGTCTGATGGCTCTTTGAGGCGCGCGCGAGACAGACATACCTTATGAGTTGGACATTCATTAACTATCTTCCTTGAATAACCTAATGGGCTGTATTATTCATAGAATAACAATTTCTACGTAAACAAATAACAAGAAAACAATAAAATTACTAGTAATGATTCCGCATGCCATTAATTCTGCGAATAGTACCAAAGTACCAACCACACAATAAATGCATTCGTTTTGCCAGTACGAACGGTTCACGCTGCTGTCGCTATGAGCCGATAACCGATTACCGTTGAATAATCGATTCTCGATTGTACTCGAGTGTTATCGATAAGCTCTCGAGTCAGCCGACCTTCATGTGTGAATATTTTGCATAGCAATTAAGATACGGGTTTGTGATACTGTCATTGTTGAATTAGCTGTTAATCCTTCTCGTGGAAGGATCATCTGTCTAACGATGTGTAACATGTAATAACGGGTTGTTTGTCTAATTTTATCCATGTTTTTAGGTTTAAAAGTGAAAATGAACACTGTTTTTATAGTATAACATCGCGCCTTTTTATCCCCGAAGTGGCAGGCATAGGTGTACATACGGCACTTAATGCCATTGTACAATGTAACACTCACTTTTCGCTAATTATGTTATGAGTCCCATGTAAATTAGTACTATATTACCTATTTCCACTACTAACTAAATATAACATCAATTTTTGTTCGATATTCCTTGTTTATGACATTCGAGCTATGGCTATGATACAGTCAAATTAAATTCTGTCTACTGCCACCCTACTGGGATTCGAGGGAGGCGCTGTGGGGCGCCGTAAAAATCTCATTTTAGACTGTAATAGCATGTCATTTTAGTAGCTGGAGAGCCAGTGAACCCTGGGAGTAACGGTCTCCCTGTAAGATTAGAAATTTGTATACTTACGATTTATGGTATTCTAAGAGCAATAGCCATGACCTGGCAGGCGTCAGCCCTGCACGTCATCAGCCCCTTTATTTTTTGAACTGTTAAGTAAATTGGGTTTTAAAACTTATTTCTGTAAATTTGAAAATTTAATAGGATAAAGTTTATTTATTGTACATCTTAAAAAAAAAATTGACAGGTGATTACAATAAGCAGAAGTATATGACAGATCAATTAAAAAACGCACTGTTGATGAGGTAATTAATAAACTTTATCCTGTATACTTGAAAATTTTATATGTCTTCAAATAAACGTCTCAGAGTAAATATGTACAATGCCAGGCGGTTTTGAACAGCATAAGACCTTGACAGGCGAGGGGACAGCTGCTAAGAGCGTGCGAGAAGTGTCATGAAGATGGTACAATACATAAAACTCAGAAATCAGCAATGGTTGAAATTTTAAAGGCAAATGTCAACTGTGAAGACGTACCAAGACGTTTTCATGTTGTCATTTTTGATTTTTGATGGATTCTTCTTACTGCATACATTAAAAAATATCCCCAAAATATTTAGTGGTATTTCCACAAATATTATGTCGCTACTAACAGCTACACATGCCTCATGAGTAGATATCATTTTCGACCAATACTTTTCGCCGTCAATTAAAGATAACGAGCCAAACGACAAGAAGTACGAAAAAAAATTATTTCATTACCGGACCAGAACAAATTCGACCAGTTAATTTTATGAAAGAACTTCGTAACATACAATTTAAAGAAGCTTTCGTAGATTTTTTAATTACACATTGGAGCACAAATGAAATGATAGAGTTTATCGGGAATACCATAGTGAACTTAAATTACAAACAATGCCATACTTATAGTGGCCATAATAACTCTGTGATTGTCGATATAAATGATGATTTATCGTGCCAAAACCATGAAGAGGCCTTTAAAATTTCAACCATTGCTGATTTCTGAGTTTTATGTATTGTACCATCTTCATGACACTTCTCGCACGCTCTTAGCAGCTGTCCCCTCGCCTGTCAAGGTCTTATGCTGTTCAAAACCGCCTGGCATTGTACATATTTACTCTGAGACGTTTATTTGAAGACATATAAAAATTTCAAGTATACAGGATAAAGTTTATTAATTACCTCATCAACAGTGCGTTTTTTAATTGATCTGTCATATACTTCTGCTTATTGTAATCACCTGTCAATTTTTTTTTAAGATGTACAATAAATAAACTTTATCCTATTAAATTTTCAAATTTACAGAAACAAGTTTTAAAACCCAATTTACTTAACAGTTCAAAAAATAAAGGGGCTGATGACGTGCAGGGCTGACGCCTGCCAGGTCATGGCTATTGCTCTTAGAATACCATAAATCGTAAGTATACAAATTTCTAACCTTACAGGGAGACCGTTACTCCCAGGGTTCACTGGCTCTTGGACTATAGCGACAATTTTGTCCCGTGATGGGTATAAGGCAGTTGTAGATCACGTCATGTATTTTGTGAGGTATTTTTTCTATGTATCCTGGATAGTCTTGCTTCTATGTTTCTTTATATTGTTATTGTATTAGTATTGGCACGCATTTGGTATCAATTTTAACTGAAATTCATAATTTTTGCGATATAATAATCTTTCATCCGAGAAGAAGTTATGTTTCGTGATACTGTTTAGTGTTTATTCTTTTATTTAGAAAAGGATCAGAACTGCTTATGTCTAGTCAGTAGAAATAATTGACGACGTGCTCCATCGTAGGCCGCATCATAGCTTACCACCAGAATCTTCAAGAACTTGTATATTATTCATCATGGCACACATTTCTCGAAGTTTGTTGTGGAGAATTCTATAACATACATAACATCCTCCTAACGTCTTTTATTAAATCATTTCTTTATTTGGACATCCATTTGTTGCTACATGTTTAACATTAACTTAAAATTAGGAATTAAAAACTTGCTACTAATACACAACATTAGAAGGACATCACAGCATGCGTTGAGTTGAGAATACTAAATCAATTAAATTAAATTTAGGTACTTAAACGGCACTTAATGCCACTGTACAATGTAACACCTACTTTTCACTATTTATGTTATGAGTCCCATGTAATAGGGGGTGAGCCTATTGCTATTACCGGGCACAATTCCAGACTCCGTGCTACCACTGAGATTTTTTTAAAAACCCAGTAATACTTTGCCCGACCCGGGATTTGAACCCGTGACACCTTGCCCGGCAGTCGCACTTGCGACCACTTGGCCAACGAGGCAGTCCAGAGAATTCTATAAGTTTTTTAAAATGGTACCTTCTGTTTGTTTTCAGGACGAAGAATCATTAGAATCGACGCGTCCAGTTCCGAATATCACCCACCACAGCATCATGTACGCTCCCAAATGCCTCGTCATCGTATCGAGGCAGGACTACATCGATACCTTCAGGGTAAGCATAAACTTCTTGATTCAGGCGATCCGTCTGCTTTTTGCCTCGATGTGCCACAATAAAACTTCTTCATACTTAAAAGGCAAGCAGATACTTTCAATGTAAGGGGTAAAAGCAATTTGTGGGTTAAACAGATTATTATTGAGTTGTCGATTTACTGCACTGTTGGTGCGGTGGCTGGGTAACCGGCTGCCGTGCAACATGAAGCGGGATCGATTCCAGCACGGAGCAACTCTTCGCGTGATACACAAATTGCTGTTTTGGATTTGGATATCATGTGTATGTGAACTTGTATGTTAAACGCACCCACGATACAGGAGAAAATCGTAGTGGGGGGCAACGCTTTATTAAAAAAATAAAAAGAAAAGATTTGCTAGGTTCGTCCCCAGTGACCTAAGTAAGTATGTCCTTAAACGTCTATTGCTATAATGTGTCGATGTGGATATCTGCTTATGATTTCTTCGAAAAATATGTGTGATGATGGTACACTCATAAGTTCATAAAGCGAAGATACTTTCACATGAAATTGATTGATAGAATCTGCGAAGCCTTTTTCCTAACTAAGTTTCTCTCGAATCCTTCGATGTTCTGCTAAAAGGCAATATTTCACGCTGAGTGGCTTGCTATGCATTTTGCATTAACAGCGGCAGTAAGCTTTTAACCCATTTCTGTTTTATTCTGCAAAGGGGTAAGTAAGCAGACGTGCACGTTATAATATGTAGATAACATCCACGTATCACGATTTTGACCAATATATTTCTACTTTCCAGAACTGCCTGGGTATAATCTACACAGTATGGGTGGAGAACTTGGGCGTGCCTCTAGAGACGTTGGTCGGTAACTTGGTGGGCGGCGTGCTGGTGCCGGACCCTGGCGGGCCGCAGGTGCGGTTCAGCATCGGAGCTGGGGACCGCCAGGCTCTACAACCTCCTGCCGCGCCGCCCATGCCAGTTACACACACCGCTGTTTATATGCTGTTGAGGTTGCTTGGTAAGTAGCGTCTATATTATTTTAAAGATACTAGATTTATTAACCTAGTTTAAAGATTGTTTTGATTAGTACATGTTTAGAAGAATTGTAACAAACCTACTACCTATGTACCACCTAGTTAAAAGTACCCTTTAAAAATCAGTAGGTACTTTAGTATGATATTGGATGTATCTCGAAAATAAAAAGATGAGTATTAAGCAGGTAGACTTTTGTTTAGGCTTTTTGATTGAAAAGTGAGTCCAGTTGTTTAACAACTTAACACGTGGATTAAGACTCACTTTCACAGATATTAAAAACAATTTCAAACAAGCTCCCAAACAGCGTTAACCTCACATCCAAACTTTAATATTCCAGGTATACACAACTCGGTAACACTATGGTGTGCAGTGATGAGTGAGCACAAAGTCCTCCTGGTCTCCTTGGCAGCAGCTCGACTGGCGGCAGCTTGCAGAGCTCTGGCGGCGTTGATGTTCCCATTCAGATACGCCCATGTCTACATACCTCTGCTGCCAGCTGGTCTAGCTGAAGTACTCGCCACACCGACGCCGTTTCTTATCGGAGTCCATTCCAGTTTAAAAGAGGAAGTTTCGGAATTGGTAAGTTTTTTTTTGTGCAGAAAAAGAGTGCGATCCATATATTTCCTAAGTAATTTTTTTTTCCGAGAGATAGCTGAATGTCAGTGTTTTATATACGTCTGGTCTTTACAACTTGTTTTTTGTAAATTAAAACATGTCTGGAGGATATATTTCGTATTCCAATCATGTTGGCATCCTAAGTAAGACAAAATCAGATAATCTTTTACTCAGGTTCAAAAAAATTATGCATAATTCTATTGTATTTAGAATATTAATCATGTAATTTAATAGCTATTTTCTCTAATTCCAGTTGGACGTTATAGTAGCAGATTTAGACGTAGGCTCTCTCCACATACCGGCTGGTGTGAACATTCCCCGTCCAGAAGGCAAGCTGCTCTCGTCACTGCAGGAAGCCCTAGCGCTGGTGTTACAGCCGGAGCTTCGGTCCGCAGACTCGGCCTTCGCCCCACCACCACCAGCCTCGTCCCCACCACATATGCTGGATAAGGAGATCAGGGCTGTGTTCATGAGGACCTTGGCGAAACTGCTGCAGGGATATAGGTACGTTGGTTTGATCGAGAAGTACTAATCAAGCTACCTTAAACTATACAGTGCAGTAGCGTCAATAGATTGTGTGCTTAATAGTTTTGTAATAAAGTCAAAAATCCATTGAACTTTTTCTGATGGTATCTAATAGAAGTTGTGTATTGCTTAAAAGGTCATTAAGCATGAGAACTGTGTGGTAATAAGTTCCTATTTTATCAACATAAATCTATGCTTAGAAAATTAGATCTCTGCTTACTTGTATGAATAATGAAATATACCAAAGCATCCTGTTATTACAGAGAAATTAATAATATATTCACGTGTATTTTATCTTGTATTTGTTTTAACTAATTTTCTATGTGTATTCCAGACACTGCTTAACAATAATCCGCATCCACCCGTCTCCCGTCCTAACGTTCCACAAGATGGGTTTCCTGGGCGCCCGCGGGCTGTCACAGTGTCAGTTCGCGGTGCGACTGCTGGACTCCATGTTCTTCAACGGTCTGGTGGCTGAGCGAGGTCCGCCTTGGAGAGCCACCGATATATGGGATGAGCTTGTACAGTAAGTATACTAAGTACTAACATAACATAACGCCTTTTATCCCCGAAAGGGTAGACAGTGTACATTACTGCACTCAATGCCACTGTACAATGTAATACCCACTTTTGACTATTTATGTTATGAGTCCCATGTTATAGAGGTTAAGCCTATTGCCATAAGTGTCCTACTAATATTATAAATGAAAACTAATCCAAATAAAAAGACATAAATACATAAATGTATATTTTTATGGGATATGCATAAACGATCTGACTGATCACCTAATGATAAGCAATCGGCGTCGCCCATGGATACTCGCATCCATCCAATCCACTTGCAAACCCTCAAAAGGGACGGTTAAGGATTTGGGGACGCACGCTGGTTTTTTGTGAGGCCGTGATATCACTCCGGTGAAACCAGTCCACTCATACCGAAGCACGGCTCTCTCACACTTAAATTGTATGATAACGTAAAATTGTATAATAGTGATCAAGTAATGTTTGTTTATTTTTTACAGAAATCTTCCAGAACAAGTTCGGTTAGAATCTCTGAACCCTGAGCTGGAGTTGCAACACATACAGGACTTGGCCATGCAGTTACATCTCAATGAAAATCCGAATCCTCAGGTTAGTTGCTGTGTGCCTTCACGAAAATTGTGATTTTCATTAAGGAATATAAACATTGTCTATATATAATAATATATAATGCTTAACTCCTATTAATAATACATCGATGTTTTATGGCCTTGTAGCCTTCATCGATAAATTAACTTAAATCAACACAAAAATAATTATTCTATTCGTATCTAACAGTACTTCTGGAGATTAGGACGTTTAAATAAATATTCTTTTCAGCTTTGTGTAGATTCCTGACGTTAAAAAATGCAAGTCTTAAAATAAATGTTTTGATTGGTTTCCAGACGTTCCAGCAGCGCATCCTCCGTCCCCCAGAGGGTGCGTCCTCCCGCATCCACCAGCCCCCCCTGCCCGCACTGGACGCGGCGCGGGTCAGGGATGTCATGAGGGAGGTCGCGCAGAGAAGTGCTGCCAATCCCAAGTACGTTATTTCGTATATTTATAGACTAGCTACTACTGCGCGGATTCACCCGCTCTCCTCGGTGCCTATTGATTGTAGCTTGATATTTTATAGCTAATAGCCTTCCTCGATATATGGGCTATCTAACGCAGACAATATTTTTCAAATCGGACCAGTGTTCCTGAGATTAGCGTGTTCAAACAAACCAGCTGTGAACAGCTGAAGCTTTATGTGATGAAAAAATTAAATAGTATAAGATTCGTCTACAAACGAGCACGCGCATCACCTGATGGTATGTGAGCAACGCTGAAAGAGTCTAAAATAGTTAAGGTTTTGTCAAATGTATAAGTATCTGCATCAAAGCTTAACGCTCTACAAATATGTAGCATAAGACAAAATTAATTAGTAAAATAATGTAATAAATGTTTGTGATTACAGACTGTCAGCACTCCGGCCCGTACAGTCCCGTATCGTGGCTCCGGGCGCGCCTCCTACTGGGGCCGCAGACTATGGACATCTACTGCTCACCAACTCGGCTAGGAGACTCGAGGTAATATTAGGATAGCAATTGTGTTTTGAGATAACATACAAACATAATATTACATTGACCCTAATACATACTAACATATTATTACAGGGGCCAAGTCAGGAATGGAGGAATCTTAAAATTGGCATGGCTTTGTGTAGATTTTATTACTTTTTATAGATGATGAAGCGGCTCCATCGAGAATTGGCTAGTTTTTTACAGAATGTTTTTGGTTGGATATACTAGTAATGTTATAGATGACCTTGTTTTAAAGGAAAAAATAATCAAATGACTTCTACTCTGGAGGACACATTTATGCTTCTACAGAATATTTTATTGAATTGAAAAGTCGAAACAATTAATTAAGAAAAATAAAATAAACCAGTAAGTATATAAACCTGGCTACGTGTATTTCCCAGGTGTTACGGTCGTGTATAGCCGCAATATTCGAGTGTCGCTACGCGGACGCGCGCAAGTCTCTGCCGGGCGTCGTCCGCGCGCTGCGGGCCGCGGGGGCGCGCGCCGCGCTCGTCCGCGACCTGGCCGCCAGGCTGCCCAGTAACAAGCATCTACTGCATCATCACCAGTTCGAGCTCGTCGTCAGGTAACTTCAAACTCCTCATGTGGATTAGCTAACTAGCTAGTGAACAAATATGAACTTTATTGACATAAAATGCAAATAGTTCGTGGTAACATGATCGTGTCCCGGGAGCCTCGTATTGACGAGGCAGAAAGATAATGCTGACTCGCTTTATGTTTTTTTATTTTACGTCTCATTTTTTATCGATTGCGTCTAGTGTCTATACCATTGAATAGAGAAAAATCTTTGTGCTTTTGGCTGTCACAGATTTCGAAAAGTTACAATACGGTAGTTGACAACTAGTCAAATTCAATACTTTTATCGAAACGTCAAAAACGATGCTGATCTATGAATTTTGTACGAAATGCCGTCATCATATTTTCTTGTCTAATAGAACACTTATATTTTTTTTTAAATGCTGTAATAAATCGAAAATTAAGTATATCGAGCAAACCAATGAATGAAAGTGTAACTATTTTTCAATATTTAATTGGACTGAAAAATGAAATAATTTATTTTTGACCCAGGAAACTACCCAATTTAAGAAACACTAGTTTTATCTCCAGGAAACACGCAAAAGCCAGATCCATTTGGTCTATTTTGTTAACACGAGTTAATTAATAAAGATACTCAAAAATACTTCAACAAATATATTTTTAATCATCATCATCATCGTCGTCGTCGTCATCCTCGTCGTGTTCCTTCTCGAAGCGCACCAACCACCGGGTACATATGATCTTGTGTCCCTCGTGCAACAAGTGAAGTGTCACGTCGAACGTGCCGTACAAACCCGTCTCTTCCAGTTGCTGGTAGTCAACTATAAACTCGTTGATTTTAAATTCCCCCTGAAAAGGTAAAAGTAATGGTTGATGTTATTCATTTATAATATGTAAAACAGTTTTTAATTTTTCGCGAAAGATCTATGCTTAAGCACCAAGGGCCTGCGCGACCGGGGCGATACTATAGCTTCAAACCGGCGTGAACCAACGCTTAATTAGTGTTTCGCTGTGTAAGAGGCTTAATCATCCCCAGTCCCCATATTATCCCCAAAAGGCCGGCAACATACTTGTAACACCTCAGATGTTTCGGGTTTCTATGAGCGGTTCCGATTGCTTACCATCAGGTGATCCATCTGCTCGTTTGCCGCCTGAAAAATCTTTGCTTTTTCTTTTTTTTTTGGGAGATAAAGTTATTTTTAAATAAAATAATGCATAGTACTGTATAGTCACCGTTGGTATAGGACAGTCGGGTGGGTCAAAGCCACCCAGGGTGAGGAGTTTACTCCAGTTTTCGCCAGTGTTTTCCTTGACGTACTCACAGAAGTTATCACTCCCCATCGTCTGGTGATATTTGAAACCGCCGTCCATTTCCTTGTATATAATGAGTTGTACCTGAAATATAAGTACTAAGCTGTTTTAAAAAATAATTACTAACCTAAGCGTCAAGTCGTTGTAAATGAAGCTTCACAATACAGCTGAGTTTCTGACTTCGACTTAATTATTTGGAGGTTTTTTGTTTTACATAAGTATTTATTACACTTAAGAGCCCTGCTTCGGCACGAAAGGGGCAGCTCGCCCGGAGTTATACCACGGCCTCGCAGAATACCGACGTGAAACAACACTCGCGTTGTTTCACGTGGTGTGAGTGAGGTTCCCGGAAGCCCATTTACGCCCCCTCCCCTTCTCTAATCCCTGAATCCCCAACAGTCCTTAAATTTCTAATCCCAAAAGGCCGGTAATGCCCTTGCAACGCCTCTGGTGTTCCCGGTGTCCATGGGCGGCGCCGATTGCTTACCATCAGGTGATCCGTCTGCTCGTTTACCGGCTTATACCACAAAAAAACATGTTTTATTATTAGCATGAAAAGTGAATCTAAACCCATTGTTAACACAAATACGTAACATATCCACTTGATCGTTTAAAATGCTTTGCACTTTGCAGTGTTGATTGTATACTCACAAAGAAAAGGAAAGCGTTTATAGAGCACTGACTGACAACTGATATAATGTAACAAGAAAAAGTTAATATTTTCTAAAAACAATACGAAAAACATTGAAAGTAATACTAGTACTTACTCCATACGAGGAATTTAGTTCTCTATCAAGGTCCATGTGTAAGTTGAAGCTGTCGTGAGTCCTGTTGATCTTGGTCCGCGATGACGTCAGTATGATGTCGTATTGGTCCGCGTCCTCGCAGTCCATCATTGTCAGTACCAGCCAACGGCCTTTTCCCTAGATATTAAAAAGTTACATATATTATTATAATAGATAATTGCAATCATTTCTCAGTACAGGAAACCAGTGACGGCTAGCGAAACACAACTTTCAGACAGAGCGTTGTTAAAATGATATGTTTTAAACTAAATCAGTGCATTAACGCGATGATATCTTCCGATCTATTTCGTTGTGGGATCCAAGACAATTATTCATGTCCCTAGAACGCACCATACTTCAGTGTTCCGGTGTTTTCATGGTTGTTTCTATTGTAGATCCTGGCTTACAGGAGTTGCAGCGGTTTTGGGAGGTTGTGGCGGGCTAGTCCCTTTACCGCGATGATAAATAATAATTTTTCAATTACACTACACATAGTTTAAGAATAATACTTTTTATACTCCTGAACCGACAATACAAAAATATACCTTGTAAAAATCCTAGAGGATTTCGAAACTATAGAAACAAATAAAATAATATATAAAATTAGGCACTTACCAACAACTCAACATCTCCAGAACATGTCGTAAACAAAATACCGAAAGTAAATACAGAATACAATATCAACAACATGTTGTTTAAATCAGATTAAAGCGACATTGTAGTTGTATAGCCTTAAATACTCACTATGTTACATGTGAAGCGACCATATTGATGATATCGCGGAAACTGTGTAAACAATGTGCAATAGTGTGATTAAAATATTCTAGATTATCTAGATGTTTGATAGCTTGTTGTTATTCACGTAATATCGCACGCTCTTTTTCCTCAGAGGTACTCTTCGGTACAGTGGCGAACAAACTAATATACCTCCTACCTACCCCTTTCAGTAAAATTCCTTTATTCGGCTTTCAACTTTATTGACTTCGACTTTAACTGCCTTGTTGACCGAGTGCGACTACCAGACAAGGGGTCTCGGGTTCGATTCCCGGGTCAGGCAAAGTATTACTGGGGTTTTTAATAAAATTCAATGGTAGCACAGAGTCTGGAATTGTGCCCGGTATATGGCAATAGGCTCACTCCCTATTACATGGGACTCATTATATATATAAATAGTGAAAAGTGAGTGTTACATTGCACAGTGGCATTAAGTGCCGTAATGTGCACCTCTGCCTACACCTTTGGGGATAAAAGGCGTGATGTTATGTTCTAGTATAAAGTCGAAAATCCAATGAAATAAATTGAGTGGAGTAAGTTTTATATGTATCAAAAGTGATAGTCCACCATTGGAGTATGGGACACCTCTACAAAAGTGGGGTTTGCCATAATTTTGTCGCTTGGCAGGAAGATAATATATAGCAGTTTAAAAAGTTTAAGTTTATCAGAGAGTGCTGCAGTCCAATCTACCTTAGTTCTCGCAGATCCCGAAGACCAAGCGCATTCTACTGTTTTTATACGACTTTCATTATTCCCTCGGTTTAATAACCTTTGTACGATAATGTAAAAAAAAACAACAATAATTTGTTCCGTGATATTTATTAAATAATACTCGGTGAAATTTATTAACCCCAATACATTATAATATAGTACAGTTTTCACAATAAAAACATATTGCACCACAGATAAAGAATTGCTAACATTTCGTAGGACCCCAAGCCTCGTTAATGCTGTTAAGTGCCACAATAACCTAATCAAGTGCTTATTGTCTACACATAAATGACAAATCAGTTTGTCGCTAGTTCATACATAAATCAAAAGAAATAAAAGCTATTGTTTCAAATTTTAAAGATATGATGATGATGATGATCATCTCCATGATGATGATGATCATCATCATCGTCGTCGTCGTCGTCGTCGTCATCGTCTCCATCACCATTTCGTTGGTCAAAGTTGAGAATGACTTTGGTGCAACCGATTCTGATATCTTGGAACAAGCAGTATGCGATAGCCTCATATGTTCCATAGACACCCATTCTTGGAAGCTCCGTATAGTCAAAAATGTATTCCTTGATGGAGAGTAAACCCTGAAAATGTAGAAGTTACAAGTACATAAAGACTGCACATTTTTTTTTTTGACGGGTATGTCATCCAATGACTTCTCCTGCCTGAGGACACGGTGGAACACACAGTGGGGGAATGCCCTGCGTGGGCTGAGCACCGCCGTGCCCTCAAGGACGTGATCGGCGATGGCGACCTCTCGCGTCCGGGCCTAGTGCGTTACATGATGCGGAGCGAGGGGGACTGGGATGCCGTCTCATCCTTTTGCGAAGGTTGGGCGGGAGGGAGTGTCAGACTCTTGCTGGCTAGTCACTACCCCGTTCGTACTTCTGCTCTTCGAGCCAGATTGAGCAGTTGGCGCGGTGGCTGAGGAACTGGTTGCCGCGCAACGTGTAGCGGGTTCAATTTCCGCACGGAGCAACTCTTTGTGAGATCCACAAATTGTTGTTTTGGGTCTGGGTGTCATTGTGTATTGTGTTGTGTGTTTGTAAACGCATCCACGACATAGGACAAAACCCTAGAGTGGGACAACGTGTTTATATAAAAATAAATATATTTGCTATGAAGGTGGAAACCACTGACTATGAACTTTATCATCAATATTATTATCCCCATATCAGCCACTGCTGAAGACAGGCTTGCCCCAATGACTTTCAGATAGGCCTGTTGGAAGCAGCCTACATCCAGCAGTTCTAACTAGCAATCTTAATTGGGTTGAGAGTGCTGCTTAGCGCTTTAATCAAATGTTTTTAAAAATCATTAAAGATAGTCAACTTCAGAAAGTAATGTACTATGTGAGAACATATTAAATCCAATACCTGTTTGTTTTATTTTTTCTGTTTTCTATTTTATCGTTTTTGTTGTATTTTTTCAATTTTTATCTTTTTTATTCTAAAAACATTATGTCTTAAAAAAGACACCAAGCTAAGCTCAGTTATCCAGATACTTCACATCGAAAATTAACGTACCGCTCGTATAGGACATTCAGGAGGATCGACATTGGCCATAGTGAGTAGCTTCCTGACATTCTCCTCTGCCTGCCTCATCAGGAATGCGCAGGCGCTGTCGTCAGATATAGTCTGGTAGTACTTGAAGCCACCGTCTACTTCTTGAAAAACATCTATTTCGAGCTGTAACATAACATTAACAAAATGGCGCTTACTCTTTTTATAAAGAGTTTGATTAATAACTTTCTTTTAGCTTTTCATTCCAATTTTTCGGTAGATTTGTTATTTATAATGAATTCATTATATGAGCGTGATAAAGCGTCAATTCACGACGACTTACCACCGCCATAATCTGTCGTTGATGTAGACAATGGTAACCGTTTACTGCCCAATAGTTAGTATAAAAAACAATTTACCTCCAAACTTTTGCTCCTTCTTTATTTACAAGAACCATTTCTTGTTCGTTGCGTTCTAAAACAATCCTACAAATATAAATAAAATAAAAAAATGGTACTAACAGCAAAGCTATAATCGAAGACTCTATCCAAGTTTATGTTAAGGTCGAAACAATCATGTGTACGGTTGATTTTCTTCCGACTGATGTCGAACAATATGTCGTACTGTTCTGGATTGTCGCAGGGCATAATGTTCAGGACTAGCCATCGTCCTGGACCCTGAAATATTAAAAAAAATAATTAGCACCAAGGATTCTACGTGACATGTGAAGTTTGGACATAAAAGAGACACATCACATGAACATAATAATAAATTTATTTTGTTTTTATACAAACATTCAAGTTCACATACACATGACACCCAGACCCGGAACAACAAACCGTGGATAACACAAAGAGTGGTTCCGTGCGGGAACCGAACCCGCGACACGTTGCGCGGCAACCGGTTGCCCAGCCACCGCACCAACCGATATGAACAAACTGGGCATTCCTAAATAATACTTCCTCTACATAAAAGGTTTTGCAGTAATATCCTCGCTTGACAGGCGGTTTTTTTTAAGTGGGGAAAGTCATCGAATGACTGCTCCCGCCTGGGTGAGGCAGGGGGGACTGTCAGACTCTTACTGACTAAAAACCACCCCGTTCCTACTCCTGCTATTCGAGCCGGAGCCCCGGTAATCCGTTAGGTTTTTCGCAACAAGGCGGGTTGGATATCGTAGTTTAAAAGGGTTCAAGTTTATCAGAGAGTGCTGCTATTCTTGACAAATGTGCAATCGCTTAGACAGCTCTTAAACTGTTAAACACCGCGAGGACACCGGTGTCCGCAACCTATTGTTCTTTAATTGTGTCTATAATGACGGTACTCAAAGGGTTAAATAAAAAAACTCTTTCATAGGAGGATATTGGAAAGAGTATAAAAAATTAAGTTAAAAACAATATATTTTATTATCTATAACTAAATATATAAAAATGAATCCCTTTTTCCCTTAGTCACGGTATCACGCGTGATTGGCTAGACCGATTTTACTAATTCTTTTTTGTTGTATTTGTTATTATTAGGAGAAGATACTTAAGAAGTTCGCCGGTAGTATAAATAAATATTTATAATATTACTAGCCGACCTTTCATATGGAAGTTTGTGAATTTTTAAACAAAACTGTTGAAGAAATCGAAATGAAATTTGGAACATAACATAACATCACGCCTTTTCTCCCCGATGGAGTAGGCAGATTATGCCACTGTGCAATGTAACACTCACTTTTCACAATTAATGTTATGAGTCCCATGTAATAGAAATAGATACTTTTTATCCCACGGCAACACGAGTGAAGTTGCAGGCAGAGGCTAGTACTAAATATAACATCACGCCTCGAAGGGGTAGGCAGAGGTGCACATTATACCACTGTACAAAGTAACACCCACTTTTCACTATTTATGTTATGAGTCCCATGTAATAGGGGGTGAGCCTATTGCCATATACCGGGCACAGTTCCAGACTCCGTGCTACTACTAAGAATTTTTTAAAACCCAGTAATACTTTGCCCGACCCGGGAATCGAACTCGAGACCCCTTACCCGGCAGTCGCAATTGCGACCACTCGGCCAACAAGGCAGTCTAAATATATTTAAAAAACTTACAAGCATAAGACCAGGTAAGATACTAATCACGAATGGCACACATACTGTTAGGACTAATATGAACTTGAACATTTTCATCGCCTGTAACTCCTGACTGAAGAATGTGCTTGGCTTTAAATACATTTATACAGATACCCTTTACATGTTCCACGCATATTTTGATGAATATCTCTAACTGAATTAATAACATTAGTCGACGTTTAACCTTTGATTACACAGTACGATTGATGTTTTGTTCTGTTCACGCTATTGATAAATTAAATTATTTATAAATTATACTTTTTGAACCATTCGTTGGACTAGTAGCTAACTTGCTAGCTTCCTAGAGTGTTCAGCGGATCGGTGCTAGTAATTTATTTTAGGTATTGTTTTCTCAAAACTGTTTTGCAATGTTTTTCATATAGATTTTAAACATGTGTCTAAGTTTTGGGAATATACAAATATACAATATTTGCCTCCTTTGTGTTGCGGGTGTCCATGGGCAGCGCTCCTATACCATAAAATAACGTACCACTTTTCGAAAGAAAAAAAATTTTTAGCCCCGAGACAAGAGTCCCACCATTTTTTTTTTGGTAGTTCTGAAGGTAAGTAAGAGTGGGAGAGCCATGCTTCGGCACTAATAGGAAGGCCCTAGTCGAAGGAAGTCCCTGCTTAAAGCCCTGATAGAAGAGCTGCGCACAGTGTACGGACATCCGTAACATCACATCTCTACTATCAGGCAAATAGTTTAATATCCAGGTAAGGAAATAAAGATTGATTCAGTACAGAAACAGTTGTATATGTTGTAACAATTTATATCTTGTATAACCATTAGTTGGTTCAGTAGGTATTTCAGAATTCATATTTATTTTTCTACCTAATTACCGATATGATTGTGCCTATTAAAGGGTTGTGTAGGTTTCTCCCATTTCAGGGGATTTGCCGTCATCCTCACGTGTGATAGGCGGTTACAGGCTCGCAGTGTGTTCACTGATTAGACATTAAGCGGTGTTGTTCCTCGCGTGTCCCTCGACGAGCATAATTTTTTATCACCATTCATTCATTCATCAGATCATTTTAATAATTTTATGAATGTTTCATACACATTTAAGCTTTCCAATCGGATCGAACTTGAGACCTTGTATTGTGATTCACATTTTTACATTACCTACCTACTATAAAATTAAAAAGATAATTCATGGTGTAGGAAAAAAAAACACTTATATGTATATTCAATTTTTATATTATTCCAATTACTAAATACAGTTTTATTGAACATACAGTATTCATTTCCATATTTCAAAAAATCAAATTTGTCTACTCATGAATTTTTATTACAAACATATTTTTTTATAATTTTGCATTGATCTAATTACGTACATTCTCCGAAAATAAATTTTTTAATCATCAAACAATTTTATATACCGCAAAACAAGAAATTTTGTCAAGCCTATAATAATTACTATTAAAAAATATACGCTAATATTGTCTATTCATCTTCATCTTCTATTTTCATAAACTCAACGTGGACCTCCACGCAGCCGACCTCTTCGGATCCCTTCAGCACGAAGGCCTTGGCACAGAAGTAGCCGTACCAACTGTCGCTTGGAAGCTCACTGTAGTCGAATACATAGTCCTTTATCTCGTAATCATTCTGTTGAATAAAAATAACACATTATCATCATTGGCCGGAGTGATACCACGGCCTTAAAGAAAACCGACGTGAAACAACGCTCGCGTTGTGTTTTGTCGCGTTACTGAGGTTACCAAAGGCACAGTTACCTCCCTCCCCAATCTCCCTAATCTCCCAATACCCAACAATACTCAAATTCCTAATCCCCATATGCTCGGTAACACACTTTAACGCTTCTGGTGCTTCAGGAGTCCATGGGTGGCGCCGATTGCTTGTCATCAGGTGACCCGTCATCTTATACTATTATATGTATAAAGCGAAAGAGTTTGTTTTTTTTTATTTGTTTGAACGCGTTAATCTCCGTAGCTACAAGTCTCATTTGAATAATTCTTTTTGTGTTGGATAGCGCATTTATCGAGGATGGCTATAGGCTATAAAACATCACGCTATGACCAATTGGAACTAAGCAGAGCGTGTGAAACTGCGCGGAAGTAGCTAGTCGTAAATAAGCCGGTAACGGCTTATCCCATAACAAAAAAAAAAGAATTATTAAACAAACTGTATTTTACTCAGCCTAGGTGAGATCTATCTTAATTCTAATCAATATGAACGACATCTTACCGATTGTATTGGAAACTCGGGAGGATGGACACCAGCGAACGTTAAGGCGACCTTAGCGTTTTCCTCGGCGTATTTGTTGACGAAGTTGATGAAGCAATCGTCTGATAACACCTGGTACTGCTTACAGCCGCCGTCTACGTGCTTGCATATATCTACACGGATCTGGATAGGAAAAATTAATATTTTATAAATATCCTCATTTGCCAAATCACCCTGTGCGTCATATGTCGGAATACTCAAACGCTACTCAATTTTAAGTCGCACTTAAGTATAGTTCTGTCTCCACAAATTCTTTGTAAAATGACAGAGATGGCACGATATTTAAGTACCTACGACTTAAAATTGAGTAACGTTTCAGTATTCCGGCAATAAAGTGTTTATTAGCTTGAAGTCTGCAGGGGCTACAGACTTGACAAGTTGTCACTGCGCTGACATAGCTTGCACTTTAGGCACAACAAGATGATGAAGCAAGACAATATATTTTTTTCTATTATTATAGAATTCCTTTTTTTTTAAAGTCGGTTGAAAATACAAAATATGTCTTAAGTAAGTAAAATTGATCTGTTTCTAAAAACGTTAGTACATACTTATCATTATGCATACTTATCTATGTTCCTAACATAGTTTTATCCCTTTTTTAAATTTAGAACAATAAAAGCAGTTTTCTGAAAACAGCATCAAAATCGGTTCAGCTAATCGCAGGTTAATCGCGCACATACATACAGGTTACACTGAGAACCTCCTTCTTTCTTTGAAGTCGGTTAAAAATAAATAATTGACCCTACCCCAAAAGTATCGTCGAAAGTCTCGTCCAGTTTAAGGTCCCCATAGAATCCGTCGTGGGTTCTATTGATTTTCTTCTGTTTTATGTCGAATATAAACTTATGGTGGTGTTGGTCGCATTTCTCTATGAATTGGACCTTCCAAACTCCAGGACCCTGTAAAAAATTGTATGAAATATTATGGTATGGGTTTAATTTACTTCTGTCTAGTCTCTAAATTGGCCCTTTCGGTTACAAAGAGGTCACCTATCCTTTAAAATCTAAACGAGATGCTAACTTGAGGCTAAACTTTAAGTGTGGGAGAGCCATGCTTCGACACGAATGGGCCGGCTCGACCGGAGTGATACCACGGCCTCACAGAAAACCGACGTGAAGCAACGCTTGCGTTGTGTTTCGTCGTGTGAGTGAGGTTACCGGTTGCCCAATTACCCTCCCCTTCCCCAATCTCCCCAATCCCTGAATCCTCAAACTCCTAATCCCTAAAAGGCCGGTAACGCACTTGTAACGCCTCTGGTGTTCCAGGTGTGCATGGGCGACGACGATTGCTTACCATCAGAAGATCCGTCTGCTCGTTTACCGGCTTATGCCATAAACAAACACCGTAAATAAACGTTGAAAGAAAAGAAATTCCATTAGTGATCAATAGACGATAAAGGGGAATATTATAATATCGCCTTTCATCTTAATATGATTTATTACCAAATCCCTAATTACTTAGGAACCTTAGGATTAGGATTTTATAACTTTTATGGAAGTATTTAACTTCTAATGTAAACGAAAATTATTAAAATATTTAAGTAGAATAATCCAAGATTTCATAAACTATTGTGCACCTTATAGGTGTTTCTATGCTTTTATAATTATAATAAAATATCTATTGTCAACATGTAACAATCAATAAACGAATTTAAATTTGAATAATCTTCCCAGATTTTCGACAGTACAGACATATTTATGATCAAAATAAAACAATCAAAACAATAATCTTACAAAATCATCGTCAGCCGCAACTTGCAACAGGACACAGGCCAACCCGAGTAACATACACGTCTTCAACATGATGTCTACACAATATCATACCCACATCACATCACGCCCAATTTATATGTAAAAATGTAAACTTAGCGTGATGAACAGCCATAATGATGGTATCTGATAGCGTGTGATGTGCTCTCGACATTGTTGTAATGTAACCTTCTCTTGTTATTGAAATCATGTAATTTCTATGTATTGAAGTGTTTTTTTAATGATATAGGGAAATGAAATGGGTATTTAGCTTGCTGTTACCGTTGGTTTTAATGTGTACTTAATATAAGTGAAGGAGAGCCATACTTCGCCACGACTGGCGTGAAACAACGCTTGCGTTGTGTTTCGTCGTGTGAGTGAGGTTATCAGAGGTCCAATCACCCCCCGCCCTTCCTCAATACCTGGATCCCCAAAAATCCTCAAATTCTTAATCCCAAAAGGCCGGTAATGCACTTGCAACGCCTCTGGTGTTCCGGGTGTCCATGGGCGACGCCGATTGCCTATCATCAGGTGATCCGTCTGCTCGTTTACCGGCTTATACCATAAAAAAATAGGCATGCTTATTTGTATAAGTAGTATAAATAGTATACCTACTAAGGATACATACGATGCCGTGCATGTTTTAAATCTACATAGTATCTAAGTTTCCGTCAGCTATTGGTCTCTCGTGATAGTAGGCGAACCTTGAGACATACTTACTGTAGACGCAATTGGGTAGCTGACAGGGTATGAAAATTAAAATACACGACACATAGACATGTATTTTTTATTTTGTCAAACATGTAAACAATTTTTTGATAAAACAGATTTAAGTTTAGGAGTGGAAGGTCGCTTCTAATAGTATTTAATTTTGTAAGAAAAATACGTGTCTAATGTTTTGACATAATCTACCAGACGGACATTAAAAAGAAAATCAGGAAATTACCCTACTACCCATTAGAATAACCCTACTTCAGACATCAAATCGCATTTCAAAAACCGTTAATAGTAATACGGTAGTGGACAGGTAGTCAAATTCAATACTTTTATTGAAATGTCAAAAACGATACTTACGACAACTTATGACGTCATTGCATTTCTGCGTCAAATAGCATAGTTATTTCCATAAATTTCAAAATTCAAGAGAAAAAATTTAATAGTAGGAAAATTGTCTAATTAATGGATGAGAGTTTGTTTATTTTTTAATTATTTATTGCATTGAAATGTTGAAACAATTTATTTTAAACCTAGGAAATTAGCCAATTCTCCATGTAGAAAGAATTATCTACTTTGAACCTCGCATTACATTCCAAATCCAACAAGAGTCACAAAATCCACTTCTAACAGAAAAAAGAAAACCTTTCAATACAACAAAGGAATAATTAAACTTGTCATAAAATGTATGAGATGTCCCATTTAAAGTATACATATTATCTAACTCTATTCTCTTTGTTACAGGCTAATGAACTGCGCCCTGCAGTCGGCGACGGCGCTGGACGAGCATACCATCGCGGCGGCCATGTTGCCTCTCGCCACCGCGTATTGCAGGAAGCTCTGCACCGGAGTCATACAATACGCTTACATGTGCATACAGGTAAACATATACCACTAAAAGAGTATTTTTAAGGGGGTAATATCATCGAATGACTTCCCCCGCCTGGGTGAGACGGAAGGAGTGTCAGACTCTTATTGACTAAAACCACCCCGTTCCTACTCCTGTCCTTCGAACTGGCCCCTCGCAACCCATTAAACCGTCCGCGGCACTAAAATAAGAATAAGGAATAAACGTAAATATCACGTACATATTTTAATTAAAAATCATGTTTTACTAACTTAAAGATACTGAATAAAACTCTATTAGTTTCGTGTCACAAAGGGACTCTTCCTCATGAGCAGCCTGCGCGGTCGCGGTGACGTCGCCCAGCCTCCGAGTAGAGCTTTTCTCAGTATATTTAATTCAGTAAACAGTTATTTTTAGTAATTTAATATGTCTCAGGATAGTAACTATAAAAAGTACATATTTAGTTTCGCAAAACTTCTTCTTAGTCGATTCCCTCACTGCTAAGGACCGTGACCTGTGATTTTGCTCACTAGATGTCGCCATTGATCTCGTTTCGTTGCTTGATGCATTGCAACATTCTCCAGCATCCTATATGTTTAGTCACTTACAAACTCAAACTTACTTTTATTTGCAAAATACAAGCAATTAGGAAAAGCCTAGTATGGTTATTATTTTTCTAATATTACAATTTTATTAATTTTACGGTGCTGTTTAACCAGCACGGTTAAAATTAATGTTGTTTTTAAATAGTTTCAATTCTATAAAAAGTTCTTTTTAAACAGGAACATCAAGTATGGACAAGCCAGCAGTTCTGGGAGGCGGCGTTCTATCAGGACGTGCAGAGGGACATCAAGGCTTTGTATCTACCTAATCCCACACACCATCAGCGAGTGCCCAGTCCTAGGTAAGAAACCTTTATGGAATATGTCGTCAAACGAGCAGCTTTGACTAAGCCAATCAAAGCGCCGAACGCTCCACCCGACAACCAATCAGTGCGCTAAACGCGGTAACGCTCTCTCCTTAGACGTAAAACATACTCGTATAAGGCCCTCAGAATTAATTCCTGATGTTCTCATACGCCCGAATACTGAAAGGCTACTCAATTTTAAATCGTACTAAACTATAGTTCTGTCACTACAATTTTTTTGTAAAATGACAGAGACGGCACGATATTTAAGTACAACTTCAAATTGGTGTCAGAAAAAATTATGTAAATTATCTTGATTTCAGTCTTGACTCATATTCCAGAGATGACGAGGAATACATATCGCTACTGAAGGCTCAGGAGCCGAGCGCGTTGGAGATTGCAGCCGAACAAATGAGGCTGTGGCCCAGCTTAGCACCAGGTATTGGAATTTGATATATTGTTATAATTCGTACAAATCTAGCCGTTTTTTTAAAGAGCTACCCCACATCTACTTATTCTGTTTACACACCCCACTATACTGTGTTGTAGTTGCTTGTATACACATATAAATTGACATACACAACACACCCAGATCCTGAACAACAATTTGTTGTTTCGGTCCTGTTCTGGGTATACACCCATGACTCAATATAGCGCCACGTCTTTTTTTAGTATGCATATTTTGTAAATAGCATTATTCATATTTGTTCACAGAAAAACAACGAGAATTAATAGCAAGCGAAGAGTCGACGTTGTACAGTCAGGCGATACACTACGCGAACAGAATGGTGTACTTACTACTGCCGCTAGAGGGCGCCGGCAGACGCGCTGACGTCAGGGGAGACGACGCCGACAGGGCTAGCAATAGTATTACTAATAGGTAAATTTTTTACTTATTTATTTATTATGCATTATCGTTCAATCATGTCAAAGTCAATTTCAAAGCTTTTATTTCAACCAGACAAGCTTATATTAAAACTTTCTTTAGGTATACTAAATTAATTATTATGTTTTCGGCTTACTCACGTAATTGTTTGACGAATTCGACTAGTTTCAAGCCATGCTGGTAACTCATATTCATGAGTAGCAGCGCGACAGTTGCCGCGTCGCGGGTCGTAGAATGTTGTCGAAAACATAATAATGAATTTAGACAAGCACTATTAAAACGTTAACAATACCTAGAATAACCGTCAGTTTGTCCGTCAGTTTAGTTATATGATTGTTCCAAAGTGTAGGTGATGGAAGAACAAGCAAAAAACTACATTGTTAATAATTACTAATTTTTGCGCAAGTACTAGCTATAGATTGACAAAAAACATTCACGATTATGTAACAATAAAAGAGAATATTACTTGAAGATGAAATTGTGTGTTAACAGTGTGGCTGAATCGGACAGCGTGGATGCGGAGTCCGGGTTCGAGGAAGCAGACCCGGGCGAGGCTGGGAATAATGTTATCAAAATGGTCTCCCGATTTGTTGATAAGGTATGTTAGATGGCGTACACATGAAATATGTTCTAATTATTCGGATAACCCCTAAAAACCTAAAATTCTTTAAAATGAAAATACCCCAAGTCCCAAAATCTTGTAAACAATTTTGTCTGTTTAGTTTTATCTAATAACTGTCATGGAATATTAACGGTTTAGCACTACATATTTCGAGAATGTCCGACTATTTTCGAGCCGTGCTGGGCTTAATTATCAACTTTATTATTTGTTAGGTGTGTACGGAGGGCGGTGTGACAGCAGAGCACGTTCGCTGCTTACACCAGATGATACCAGGAGTCGTGCATATGCATCTAGAGACGTTAGATGCAGTTGCTAGAGAAAGTAGAAGATTACCACCCGTCCAAAAGGTAAAGTGGACCTTATTACAGTAGCATAAGGTTTATTTTTCTGGATTTTGATGTCAATCAAATTAATATCACTGCTATTAAAATTTGAATTTTAGTCAGGTTTTGCTTTTGACCCAATTTGATATTACAAAAATTATAAACACTGTTCACTTTACATATAAATTTTACGTAACCTGTTATTTTTTGAATAATGCATGCAATATTAATAAACCTGAACACTTTAACCCGCTATTTTCAGATTATGCCAAGCCCCTATTATCTAGAAGAAGCCCATACTAAGTTACTAAGAGACTGTTGATGCTAATGTTGACATATATTCTTGCAGCCTAGAATAGTGGCCCCAGCGCTAGTCCCTGGGGAGACAGTAACAGTTCCGGCGTTACGCGCCTACTTAGTCAGTGATGGTCGAAACACTGCGCTACTGCCGGCAGAGGGCGCCCTATTCCTCACTAACTATAGACTCATATTTAAAGGCACACCTACAGATCCTTATGGTAAGGTTTTTTTTAATATTCTATATGTAAAATTATTGAATAAATTTTAAACATTAATTGACATGAGTTGGTTTCAAACTGACTGTAGATAATTCGGTGTATTCATCTAAGAATATTTCAATTTGTAATAAAAATAGACTGTTATTGCGCAAAAAGTTTATAAAATGCGCAAACATGAAAAGCGATGCGCAAAAAAACTAACAACAATATTAATTGCGATAAAAATTAAGAGTAAACATTTTTAACTTTCTTAATTTGTTCTTCTTAAATAAAATGTGTAATTCTTGCAGCTTGCGAGCAGACGGTGGTGAGATCGTTCCCTGTATGTTCGTTGACGCGAGAGAAACAAGTTCGAACCCACTACCTGCCTCACTTGGAACAGTCGCTACAAGAGGGCCTGCAACTTAGGTCTGCTACATTCCAGTTGATTAAGGTGAGTAATTCATTTTTTTTAAACCTAGTAATATGGTAGTTTCCAGGGTATGAAAATTAGAAATCTAAAGTCCGTCAGTTATGTAATGAAAAAAAAAAAATAGTAGACACGTATTTTATTTTATATTTTCTCGTATAAAGTTACAATGCTTTGATAAAATGGCGTTAAGTTTAGGAGTAGGAGGACGTTACACGATGTTACACATTAATATATCGTCGAAAGTATTTAATTTTGTAAGAAAAGGAAAAATACGTGTCTTATGTTTTAAATTAATCTACCAGGTGGACATAAGGTACAATACAATACATACAGGTTAAAATTTTAGGAAACTACCCTATTGTGTAAGGTTGTTTTTCCGTTGGTAAATACCTGAAATTTGATAGAGAGATGTGTTTTATTTTATATAACTTCTAAAACTGTATTTTTGCGTTAACGAAATATCTGGTCGAACAATTCTTTTATTTGTTTAAATTTTGAAATCAAACTTTCATTTTTTTACAAATACAATTCAATCTATTCAATAAAATAATTGGAATCAATTTTTTGCAATTGAAAACCTTTTTAAATATAGTGTAGCTGGAGTAAAATAAATGTTAAGTGAATGTTGTGTGTGCAGGTGGCCCTGGACGAGGAGGTGAGCAGCGAGGCGGTGGAGTCGTTCCGCAAGCACCTGGCGCGTCTGCGGCACCCCGACCACGTCCTGCTACACTTCGCGCTCGCGCCCCGCTCCGCGCCGCCCGCGCCGCACGCCGTGCCCAAGCATCACACGCTCAAGTACGGGCTCCATTAGCATTCTAGGGCGACTAATATCAGATAGATCACCTGATGGTAAGCAATCGGCGCCATCCGTGGACATCCGCAACACCAAAAGAGTTACAAGTGCGTTGCCCTGGTTTTAAGGAGGAGAGGCCTTAAATGTGGGAGAGCCATGCTTCGGCACGAATGAGCCGGCTCGATCGAAGTGATACCACGGCCGAGCAGAAAACTGACGTCAAACAACACTTGCGTTGTGTTTCATCGTGTAAGTGGGGTTACCGGAGGCCCAATTACCCCCTTCCCCAGTCTCCCCAATCCCCGAATCGCCCACAATCCTCAAATTCCTAATTCCCAAAAAGCCGGTAACGCACTTGTAACGCCTCTGGTGTTTCGGGTGTCCATGGGCGACGCCGATTGATTACCATCAGGTGATCCGTCTGCACGTTTACCGGCTTATCCCATAAAAAAAGAAATACGCTCTTTTCTTGAGGGCAATTAAACTAGAACTTTAGTCTTCAATTGGCTGGTGCCCAACACGCCGTGGGTTCCATTCTCGCACAGTACAATTCTTTGAGTAACCCAAAAATGTATTTTAAGCCTTGTGTATTAAATATATGTGTAACAACGAGAGATAATGTTAATGGAGTTAATATTTAATTTTTTATTTGTGAACTAGCTAACTCGCCAAACTACATTCTTCTTTAAATTTTATTTCACATCTTTTAAACCTTCCCTGAACTTCCACTAACAATTCAAAACCAAATCAGTTCAGCCGTTTTCGAGTTTTAGCGAGGCTAACGAACGGATATAAATTTTTATCTACATAGATTTTTAATTACTAGAAATTGTCTAGAATTGTGTGTATATTTGCTAACTCATTATGATTTTTTTTTCTACAGAGGTTTTGCAAAGAAGACTTTGCTGAAGACAGCGCGTCGCGCCGGCCTGAAGCCGAAGCCGTCGAAGCGCCAGAAGTACGTGCTGCCGTCGGCGGACGCGCGCTCGCTGACGTCACCGCCGCTCATGTCGTCACTGTCCGCCGACACGCTCTCCTGTGAGTCTCTATACTACTTACTTTTACTATAAATACTTTATTTGTGTTGTTTTTTTGTTATTTTTTTTAAACATTGCCCCACATTAGGATTTTCTTCTGTGTCATTTGTGCGTTTACAAACATACAAGTTCACATACACAATGTCACCCAGACCCGAAACAACAATTTGTGGATCACACAGTGTTGTTTCGTGCGTGAATCGAATCTGCGGCACGTTGCACGGCAGTCGGTTGCCCAGCCACCACACCAACCGTGCAGTGAGTGTGGGTATGAAGTGATTATGATATTTTTGGTTGAAAATAAAAATCTGATTTACTTTTTTTGCAAGACCTATGTTTAGTAGATGTCGTGGTGCTGAAAGATAACGAAGTGTACAAATTTTGATATAAATATTGGTACTGTATTCATAATGTCTAAGCTAGGGCATGAAGTTTATTTTTACATGGTGTTTATCATCATGTATTACAATAAGTGAGTCCCCGCAGTGGAGGAGCTGGAGCTGGGCGCGTGCGAGGGCGCGGAGAGCCCGGCGGCGGCGCGCACGCTGGAGCGGCTGCGCGAGCGCCGGTACGCGCGCGACTGGGGGCGGCTCGGGCTCGCGCACGCGCCCTTCCGACTCGCGCACGCCAACGCCGTCTACACGCTCTGCAGGAGGTACTACTCGTTATACTTTTCTTTTTTTTTCTCTTTATTTTATTTAGGGACTTTTATACAAATGTACATGTCAGTCCCATCGGACCTTATAATCTTATAAATCTAATAAATTATATAACTACAATTAATAAACTATACACTAAAACGCAATAAAACAAACTTAATTAAACTGTCAAACACCAAGCGGTCACCGGTGACCGCGACCTATTGTTCTTTAATTGTGTCTATAAAACCGGTACTCGACGAGTTAAATTGTACGCATCCTTAGAGTTAGGCGTTGACAAAATATGATGGAACATACCAACATTATACTTATTTGTCTCGAGCTCTCTAAACAATACTTCTCTTGCAGACTGAAATCTGACACATTCCGTCAATAGGTGCGTAATATCTTCTACTGTACCACACTCCTCACAACTCGGTGAATTATTTTTTCTCATTAAAAATCCAAAATTATTAAGTGGCATGTGTCCAGATCTCAATCTGTGAGCTGCTGTCACAAATTTTCTGCTAAGTCTGGTGTTACAAAACCATGGTATGTACATGAGGAGGTTCCGAGACTATAGACTTATACCAAATTCCTTTTTTCTGTGACCTTTCATTAAAATATTCTTTCCAAATTCCGTAACAAATATTTATCTTTTCTTGCTTTTTAATGGTACAAGAACGAATGGTACAGAATAGTCGAAATAATTTATTTTTGATTAAGAGTACTTTCACTCAATTGTAGGGTGTAAACTTTAAGTTCAGTATAAACTACGTAATGTATTAAATATATAAAAGCTGTACTTTAGATATTTTGTTAAACATTGGAGTAGTAATGAAAGTGTTGAGGCCCCATTAGATTGACGTATGTATGTGTCCGCAGCTACCCGGCCGTGATCCCGGTGCCGGAGAGCTTCGGCGACGACTCCCTGCGGCGCGTGGCGCGCTGCTACCGCCAGGGACGACTGCCCGTACTCACCTGGCGCCATCCGCGGACGCACGCGCTGCTCGCCAGGTACGGCACTGACACACCTACACTTTGCTAGATATTATAAACTTTTCTTTTATAAAATACTAGTGACCCGCCCCGGCTTCGCACGGGTGCAATACTTATGTAAAAATACCTACTACAAAATGTCCTTATACACCACGTTCACAGCTATTTTGTCATTAGACAATACAAACCTGTTTTATATTGATATTTTTCTCGCTAGAGAGCTCCGATAAACGCGTGCAATCGTTGCAAGTCATGAAGTGTTCTAGGACGAAACGCGGCCATCAACGCCGCAACAAATACATCCCTGCATTTTATATTTGTAATATCTTCGGAAATATTCACTTAAATTTCATGCTATAAAAAGCATATTTCGCATATATCGCGGACTTTTTTGTTGAACTTTTTAAGGTGGTCAATACTGTAGTACATTATTTTGGTCTATCTCGTAAGATACAGCCAGCGTCCTAAACTCCATTACTCATACGTTTTTATATGAAATCATAAATAAAATGTCGACATGTTCTCCCAGATCTGCAGCCCCACATCATAAAGGAGTTATGGGAATGTTGAAGGCAAGTCACCAAACTCAGGGCAACACTCAGAGTGGGACGGAAACGACATCCAGTTTAGAACAGGTAAATTACATGTTTGCAAGTAATTCTATCATTTTAGTTGTTAAACTTGATGTTGCATTGAGTAGGACAATCCAAGACCTTACCTGTACCTAACTGCGCTTATAAGCTGACGTTTATGTATTCACTAGGATGACGTTAAAATCATGTTCGCCTAATCTCGAACAAAAAATTTTAAAGACCAATTTGCTCATTAATGGCTTGGTCAAGAGACTTTGCGCTACAATATACCTTGAACTCCGGAGTCTAGAAGCTGAGGAGAGTAAGGTCATATACCGCGGTCCGGCTCAGAGCAGGAGTAGGAACAGGGTGGTTGTCATTCAGCAAGAGTCTGACACTACCTCACACTTCACGTATGGTGGAGCAACTTTCCAATCAAATATGTAATTAATTAAACCTAAAGTTTTGTTGGCCGAGTTGTCGCAAGTGTGACTGCTGGGAAGCAGGTGGTACATTGTACAGTGGCATTAAGTGTCGTAATGATCACCTCTGTCTACCCCTTCGGGGCTAAAAGGCGTGATGTTATGTATGTTATATTATTTTGTTTTCAGGAACGGTACCTAGCAACACTAGTTGCGTGCACGCCGGCGTCGCGCGGTGACCTGGAGGACTCGAGTTTGAGTCTCGACTCGTTACTTCTGTGCTGCGAGGACCAACGTGAGGCCACACATACACCATTACTGACTAAAGCGGCTGGGACACTGGGGTGAGTGATTGTGTAGAAAAAATCGATAATTTTGTATAATTTTATTAGAACAATTATTAAAATTTATAATAACTCCTACACTTTTCTTTTTACTAATAAAAACGATAGAATCCATTCACTATACTCTATTTCATTTGGGAAAGGTACTTTGGTTTGGCTACAAATTGAGTTGTAGTGATAAACAAATCATGTAAAATACATACATGTGAACAAGGACGTTGACAATAAGGCGGACAATAGTCTCTTAAAACAACGACTGTAGCCCCTGCCTACTACAGACTTACACGCAGAATACACACACATTGACACGAAGGACATCTGTCGCGTGACATGGCCCGTCATTACACTTCATACATTACGGTGTTGCAAGTACACGCAAACATAAATACATCATTGACATTTTGGTGCTTTAATCACTTCTAAGTGACATTACGTCTGCCTTTTTTTAAAGTATGTAATAAGTACGCTGTTTGGCGCTAAAAAAACGTGACGTCACAATACACAATCTCGTCCAAAATTCATAGAAAACTGTCGTTTTTGACAGTTCGAAAAAGTATTGAATTTGACTAGTTGGCAAGTACCCGTTATCATTACAATTCAATCGATATTGTAATGATAACATAATGTTTACATATTCTACTCACAATACCTTTTCCAACTAAAGTCGAGTATAAATTATCGCACAATGTATCAAATATGATTCAAACATATTGAATAAACAGCGTATTGGGTCGCAACAGCGGCGGCAAGGGCGGCGCGAGCTCGGCCCGACACTTCGGTCGCTGGGGGTCTCTCAAGGATAGGAGGCAGACCTCGCATCTAGACCTCTACGCGCCACGACAGAGACTCTCCACAGCTGATGCTGACTCTGGTCAGTATAAACTAAACAAAATTTTACTTTAGGTCTTAATTTTAATAGATTGTGTTTTAATACAATTGTAATTTAAACGAAGCACTTGCAGTATACGACAGATGTTGAAAGCGGATTGATTGGTTGTTTTATATATCGTGAGTTTTTATGTATCGTGAAGCGGAGGGAACCTCTGTACCTGTATGACAGGCTTAAGTAGGTGTCAAGTAGAAGGGAATGTAAACTTAGGCAGTGCACCCGCCCACTGTCCATACCGAAACATAGTTTTTCTAGCTTCAACATAGCTTTCGGGGTTTTTTTAATTTTATTTTTTTAAGGGGGGAAGATCATCGAAAGACTGCTCCCGCCTGGGTGAGGCGGGAGGGAGTGTCAGACTCTTACTGACTAAAAACCACCCCGTTCCTTCTCCTGCACATCGAGCCGGAGCCCCGGTTACCCGTTAGGTTCTCCGCGATAGGCTTTCGGGGTAGTTTCGAAAGTGTGGAATAACCCCCCTCCGCCTGTCAGGTCTCTCAACGCCATTGGTACTTTTAGAACACGCGTACGTCGATAATTTGATTGACGCACAAAGAAGGAATGGCGATTATCAACATATCGTTAATATAACTGTGTGGCTGGTAAATGTCACTGTTTCTATCTCGACTGGGCGCCGCAGCTGTGCTCGGTGCTCGATATTACTCCTATCCTCCTATTACGTATTCGTAAGTAACACCTAGCGGTAAATGTAGTGGGTTAGGTTATCAACTTATAAGTGGCACCTAATCGTACTGATATCGGTTTAGTTTAGCTGTTCATCATGTTAAATAGCTTTGAATTAAGAGATGGTTTAGGCGCGGTTGCTGAAAACAAGTTGTCAGGCGCGAATGCTGTGTTACCGAGTCCAATATTGTGGTACAGTATGCGGGTCGGCGGGCGGCGCGCGCCGCGCGGCGCTGTACGTGGTGTGCGACAAGGGCGGCGCGGCGCCGGGCGTGCTGGGCGCCGAGCTGGTGCCGGCCGAGTACCCCGACGCGCGCGCCACCAAGCACGCCTTCAAGAAGCTCATGCGCGCCGCCGTGCCCTCCGCCTCGCCCGCGCCCGACCATCCCGGCTTCCTCAGGTATGTTCTTTACTCTTTCCCTGCATATACAAAGCTATTCAAAGCAAATCCTCCACTAACGTCGTCGGTCGACCAGGGGTGAACCTGGCCTTTCAAAAAGGACATTTACATTTACATGACATGGGTTTTCATAGAAACTGTCGACTCAAAACTCATGAGAATCACTGAACCGGTTACTCATACGCAGCACAGCAAGGTCCTAAAACTTTAAAAATATTCTTAAAGTCAAATTATATCTCTAAACTTTTATTGAAGATGTTTATACGTCCGAACACATAATAAATAAATTAAAAATACATCAATTATTTGAGAAAAGTTCTATTAATTTTAAGTCACACCATAACTAGTAGAACTATTCTCATTGAGTTTACTGTATTTTCAGTTAATTTACTAAACACATTGAAGAATAAGACCTGACCAGATTTTTCCTGTTTCAGATTAATAGAAGAGTCCGGCTGGCTATGGCAGCTGAGACAGTTGTTCCAGCTGTCTGGAGCAGTGGTAGACCTGCTGGACCTACAGGGATCCTCCGTGCTATTGTCGCTGGAGGACGGATGGGATGCCACGGCACAGGTTAGTTAGCTTCATCATCAGGGCATTTCTGTCCATGACTAGACATTAGCTATTATTGTTTCGTTGTTTAAGTAGAATTTACTATTTACACGAGTGCTACAATGCAGTAAAACAGAAGTACAGAACGAATGAAAAGTAATTGTGCTATGAATATTTATTTTTGTCTGTATCCCTTCAAGAAATAACATTTGTCTATAGATCCCATCTTTCTTATTATGTTATTGATCGCACGCAACAGGATTTTGTCATCATCATACTTGATTACACGCAATAAATTATTGTGATTTGTAAGTTAAAACCACAACCAAAAAGCAATGTAGGTAAAAAATCCTCACTATTTCATTGTTTTTGTACAATTTCAAAACAGGCATAAATATTTTGTGTTCCAGATATCATCTCTAGCCCAGATCTGCCTGGAGCCGTACTACCGTACACTGGAGGGCTTCCGTATCCTGGTGGAGAAGGAGTGGCTGGCGCTCGGACATAAGTTCCAGCAGAGGTCCAACATTGGGGCCACGCCACAACAGGGCTTCACGCCTACATTCCTCATGTTCCTGGATGCTGTGCATCAGGTACTAACTGATGTATCTGGGATGACAGATTTAAATTGTGACTAATTGTCAGTGACAATAAGTTCACTCTCGCTCGACCGGAGTGACACCACGGCCTCACGGAAAACGGGCGTAAAACAACGCTTGCACTGATTAGTCAATTGCAACAATTATATCGAACTATAAAAATCGTCATGTTACTATGAATTTTGTATGAGATTGTGTGTCTTGTATTTGATATTTATTTAGCGCAACTAGCATACTTATTTCTTAAAAAAATGTTAGAACAATACGATAATAAAGTACGTCATATATTCAATACAGAACGTGTGATTATTTTTTTGACATTAGACTGTATGAAAGAGATGATTTTTTTTTCACTGAGTAAAGAGCCTCCTTATAATAGCGATCTAAAATATAAACTTAACTTACAGCTGCAGAAACAGTTTCCCCTGGCGTTTGAGTTCAACGAGTACTACTTGCGCTTCGTGGCGTACCACTGCGTGTCGTGTCGGTTCCGGTCCTTCCTGCTCGACAGCGAGGCGCAGAGGGCAGACCTTGGCATCACTGCCGCTGATGATAAACGAGCTGATACTAATCGCATGGTAAGAATAAACTTTAATAATATGTTGGTATAGATTGGCACTTGTTTTTGAATGTAAAACGTTTGCGCATGTTTGCGCAATCACGATAAATGTTTGCGCAACAAACGCTTAGTAAAGAATTAAAAAGTAAGTTGTGTAGTGTACTTGTAATTCGATCGGTTTAGTTTCGGTTAAATCATGCAGTAAAATAAATAGGGAATATTGTTCTTATTTTAAAATACAGATATTTGATTTATATGTTTTTTTTTTCAAAAAATTATATCATTCTATTTTTAAGTTATAACTTTCGTGAGACATACTAAATTAATTATTATGTTTTTTGGCTTACTCACGTAACTGTTTGACGAGAAACTCGACTATTTTCAAGCCATCCTGGAGGCCATATACATGGGCAGCATTCCGCGACCTGCGACGCGGCGACTATCGCGCTGCTACGCACTACACGTTCTATTATTATTGTTCAATTCAATTTTACTACGACTTTTTAACCAATAATGAATTGAATGTGTATTAAAAATGTATAAATAATTTTATGATATTTTGTATTAATCATATTACAGGTATATCTTTACGAGGCCGGTGGCGAGGCAGGTGCGGGGTCGGAAGAGGAATGCGCGGGGGGGTCGTCCGGCCCTCGGGCCCCCACACTGGGACACTCACTGTTTGACTACATAGACAGGCACCATCAGAAGTCACCAATCTTCTACAACTTCTTGTATACGCCTGATTTGGATAATCCAGTGAGTATATTTGGGAAATATTATTAAACATACTTTTTTGGTGTAGTAGAAATGAGACTACTTTTACACGTTTAATGCTAATCATCGGTAACCAGCAGTTATAGCTAAATGCCATTTAGCGCTTGTCTACTTGTAGAGTAGAAAACTAAATTATATGGGATTGATATAAATTTTGGACACTTGTCAGTGTCACCCCATACATTTAATTTTCTACTCTCTTTGTAGACAAGCGCTAAAGTGGCGTTTGGCTAAAGGCACTGAATAGTGGAGGATTTTCCCGTCAATAGTTTTTTATTGATCTTAGAAGCCAAGATACTATAAGAATTTTTATGTGTCTAAAGCAATTTTATCTATTAATAACAATAATATTAAGGAACATATTATTAAATTAGATACTCTAAAACCTATGTGTGTCTAGCCTGAATGAATGCGCAAAATTTTGTGCAACAACTCTATCATAAAAATACTCAATTTTCGACGATTATCTTTCCAGGTTCTCCGTCCAGTATCGTCAATAAGTGCTCTGGAAGTATGGCAGTACTACACGAGCGAGGAGCTGTCACACGGTGCTCCATACGACCTGGAGGTCCTGGCGCCTGCAGAACCTGAGGCACGCCATCCGCAACGGAGGGTCGTTACTGCTGGGTATGTTGTTATTGCTGTAAGGTTTATTATTGTGTGACAGAACTTGTAATACCATATGTCTTAAATTTACGTCTTGATTTTTGAAGAGTCTTGAGTCTAGAATATTTGTGCACTTCTAGTTTATGCCTGCCTCGTTGGCCGAGTGGTCGCAATTGCGACTGCCGGGTAAGGGGTCTCGGGTTCGATTCCCGGGTCGGGCAAAGTATTACTGGGTTTTTTAAAAAATTCTCAGTAGTAGCACGGAGTCTGGAACTGTGCCCGGTATATGGCAATAGGCTCACCCCTATTACATGGGACTCATAACATAAATAGTAAAAAGTGGGTGTTACATTGTACAGTGGTATAATGTGCACCTCTGCCTACCCCTTCGAGGATAAAAGGCGTGATGTTATGCTATGCTTCTAGTTTATTAAATTGTATTGGATTTTGTAATCAATCAACTCCGCAATTATTCAATTGCCGAATACAAATTACTTTCCTAGATAAACGTGTTCTAAAATTAAACAAACAAACGTCTAATAAGTATAGATTGTAAAATTACAATTGTATCTCATATAAACGACGGTTTCTTAACGATATATTGTAAAATAATAATAACAACCTGCGAACTATGCGGATGATCTTTAACAAAATATAATTTTCGTGGTTCCAGCTACGATAGCATAGCCCGTAGCATGCCGGATTCGTTCACCGGCCTGCTGGAGAGGATCAGACAGCTGGAGCTGGAGCTGGGACACCTGCCGCAGAAATGGAGAGTTAGGTGGGACCAACTAGAACTGCCCAATACTCTGGAGTTACAGGTTAGTTGTAGTTTTAAGTTGCGATGTATTTTTAGTTAATACCTCTTAATTTTAAGACGGTCCCAAGAATACTTATGTCATTACATTTTTTTTATAAAATGACTGAAATAGAACGGTGTTTAAGTCAAACTTATAATCGTGTAGCAGTCCAGTATTCGGGCGTTAGGTTTGTGTGTGATAGTTTAGATTTTACGAAGATACATTTTATATGTGGTTCTTTCCTCAAAAGGCCACTACAGAAAGAACTTGCACAGTTCTCACACATAATCTTTTATACACATTTGTCTGGACTTTAACAGAGACGGACCTCTGAGTTTGTTTCGGCATTTCTTCTCAGAGTAGTCAGTTAGGAAATGTCGGCCTCATCGTTCGCTTGATAAAATTGACGTGTAAAAGTGCTGCCTTGTAGCCTATTTGCAGAAATAAATTCACTTGTTTCACTTCACTTTTTTCACTTGTTTCACATAAATACTCATCTTAAACTGTCAAACACCAAGCGGTCACCGGTGACCGCAACCTATTGTTCTTTAATTGTGTCTATAAATACGGTACTCGACGAGTTAAACTGGTACCAATTGTTAGTATTGAGTTAAAAGCTAGGAATTGTAATAAAAGATTGTATTCTTGTAAATAATTATTTTTTTTTATTTACTTGCACATACTTTTATGAAAGGTAAGAACAACAACGTAACGAAACAAAAACGTACAATGCTAAAACTAAACTGAAAATTAGCCATTATTTATAATTTCTCATTAATTCAATAATTAGAAAATTTACGCATGAGTATTTCTTTTTACTATTCAGGAGATGTGTTAGTAGGACCAGTATTACAATGTTAGTTGCGATTTCTATGACGATGAGTTTATGAGCATGATTTGACACCGAAACGACTTTACTAAGCAAACGTCTTAAGGTTAAAGTCTTAAGAAGACAGAGACAGGATACACTGGTTGCGAAACATAGACGTACAGTTTCATATATTTTTTTAAATTACGGTACGTGCAGGAGTACGCATACAATCCGCGCCTAACTAACAGTGTTGTAATGTATTGGTAGCGCAACTCGTCGATGTCGTCGGGCGTGGTGCGGCGCGCGACGCTGGCGGTCCACAAGCGCGGCACGCTGGAGGTGCTGGTGCGGGGCCGCCTGGCCGCCGCGCCGCCCGCGCCCGGGCCCGCGCCCGCGCCGCCCGCGCACCGCTGGGCGCCCGCCTCCGCCGCCGCGCCCGCGCGCTGCGACCACTGCCAGGACCTGCTCTGGGGACCGCTCAAGGTATACACCACATCTTTCTTTGAGCTGTTTAAAAAAATTACGTTTTTTTTAGATTAAAGATACTGTTGTCAAAAATGGCATGCTAGTAGGCGTTCTATTGAGCATGTTCAATCGTTTTGAGCATTTAAAAGGCTAGGACAAGTGCTCAATTGAAGCATGCTTTCGAACTTGAAATTATAATGTGTTACAGTACCTTCAATCTTGTTATTCGACGTTCCACTGCTCCCCTTTTAGATTGGCTTTATGTCTATAATAATTTGTGTCCCATCCAGACGGGCGTGCGCTGCGTGGACTGCGGCGCGTCGTGCCACGAGCGCTGCGCGGAGGCGTGGGCCCCGCCCTGCACCAAGTACAAGGCGCCGCCGCCGCCAGACGCAGACACTCTCTGCGCGCCTCTCTCCGCAGGTATACTCTTATAACTCTATACTATACACCGAGTTCTTGCTGTTACCGGATTATATCGAACTACATACGTATGGGCCGACTAACCGGAGTAATACCACGGCCTCAGAAGAATACCGACTTGGAACAACAAGAGCGTAACTGTTGAGTGAAGTTACCGGAGACCTAATCTTCCCCTCTATCTCCGATCCCCAAAAAACCGGTGACATACTAGTAACTCTCCTCATGGCCGGCGTGGATTGCTTACCATCGTGTTTAGCCAGGGTTGCCAGTCAGCTTGGTACATGATACATTAACTACTAAATAGGTGCCATTTGTTGTTCACCAGACGGTACAAATGTGAACCTCTCGTTTTTCGTCCAATAGGGATTTAAGTAGTCTCATACCATTGTACATTCAATGCAGTGATTGGCAAAAAACATCTTGCTGCATTTGTGCTACCTGGTGACGAAAAATACGATGGCTCCCATTGATTATGATACACTCAAGTTCAGTTGTACACTTCCAATGAAATATCCGTTAGTATAATTTAATAAAGCCTATCAAAGTCCCTACAATATATATAATATGTAGGATAATACAGGAGCAAATAACGCACAATTTTGATTTATCTAAAACAGAAAGTTTATTGTTAACATCAATTGAAACACACAAATTAATTAAGATCAAACATGTACACATTACCAATACCAACCTAAAACAGAAAAATCGACAATTAAAGGTTTTTACTTCCAATATTTCAGTAGATCGACACTGTATTACATTAATCAGTTGAACAAGCACTTTAACTTTTCTTCTTTAAAACTTTAATACAATTAGAAAATATTACATTATTAAATCTACCCGAGGTTTTGCATTCTATCGAAAAAAGCGCGGGCTGCTGTCAGCTGTCACTGTCCCACTTCGTGTCAAACGTCATTCTTGTTAGGCGACGAACACAAGGCTGGTAATAAGCCTGCGCACACACATTATACAAGGCATCTTACATATATACCTCTATTACAGGAGTGTCGACCCTCCAGTCATCATCTCAGCAGTACTACGAGCAGTTCTCGTCCAACGTGGCTGAGAACCGGACGCACGAGGGACATCTATACAAGCGGGGCGCACTACTCAAGGGGTGGAAGCAACGGTAAATGCTAATATTAACTTATGATATTTACGTGATGTGGATAGAAATTTCCAATGGACAATAATCCACCAGACAAGGTGGTGATCAAGTGATCATATCTGTCGCTTGGACAGACATTCCTTTTCCTGATCTAGGATACATAACACTCTGTTTATTATGTCCATACCACTCCTCTGATTGTTTTCAGTACTGAATTAAGTAAATATTAGGCTACAACTCTACATAGACATAACATAACATCACGCCTTTTATCCCTAAAGGGGTAGACAGAAGTGCACACAGAAGTTACACCCACTTTTCACTATTTATGTTATGAGTCTCGTGTGATAGGGGGTGAGCCTATTGCCATATACCAGGCACAATTCCAGACTCCGTGCTACTACTGAGATTTTTTTTAAAACCCAGTAATACTTTGCCTGACCCGGGAATCGAACCCGAGACCCCATGCCCGGCAGTCGCACTTGCGACCACTCGGCCAACGACGCAGTCGATACTACTCTACATAGAATAAAGTATAATCAAATATAATTTGTTGTATCTACAGTTGGTTCGTACTGGACTCCATCAAGCATCAGCTGAGGTACTATGATGCAATGGAAGACTCGCATTGCAAAGGATTCATTGGTAAGTTATAGTAAAATAAGACTATAATACAATCGTATCGACCCTTACCCTCGCAAATGTAGTAAGAGCCAAGAGCCAGTGAAATCAATATCTATCTATACATATAATAAAATCATAGAAAAGTTTAAACTGTACATTGAATATTTTTTTAAAAGAATAGGTACTTGGGACTTGATCTGCAGTCGATACTGAAGCCAAAAAGATGATCTCAAAAAGTCCTGCATGAATTTACTTTAAATGTTGTATGGTTATTACTAACGGGTCGGGTCAACATATAGGCTACATATTATCACCTACGAGGTATGCGCAGTAAATCACAATTCCACGCGATCGAAGTCGCGGGCACAGCTAGTATTAAATAAAACTAATATTTTTCTATTGAATAAATGTTTGTTTCAGATCTCGCCGAGGTGATCACAGTGACACAGGCATCGCCCGCGCCGGGACCGCCCAAGAAATGTGATGATAGATCCTTCTTTGATGTAAGTTGCATCATATTACAACTTTATTTCCTCAAAGAATTTCCTTCCTCCACTTTAACCAATATTTGTATGTATGAGTACCATGTAATAGGTGGTCGAGCCTATTGCCATACACTTAGTACCATTCTCGTTGCCATGCTGCATATTGTTAAGAATAATCAAAGTCTTAGAAGTCAAATGCACTGGAGCAGAGGAACGGACCCACTAGCATATTTTCTTTTTCATTTCTTAATAAATATTTTCTGTTACGAGTATTTTATTAATTTGTAACGTATGTCGTATGGAAGGCAATTTTGATAAATTTAAAATGAAAGTATTTTGTTGTGAAAGGATTTTTTTTAGTTAAAGAGGGTTCGATATAATGAAAATAATTAAAAAAACGCCATTGGCTCCGTTTCTTTGCTTCTAAGTGTAATTTTTCTGGCTCAATAATCGAACTTAAGAAAGCTTGCTTGACAGTTGCTATTACTATTAACACATTGGTTGCCGTGTCGGACAATGATGTCCGACGCTAGCGGAGGATTGGCCTTTACCAGATTTTGTCGGTAGTTAATCCTTTGAGTACCGTCATTATAGACACAATTAAAGAACAATAGGTTGCGGTCACCGGTGTCCTCGCGGTGGTTGTCAGTTTAAAGGCTTAAACTTAATATAAATATCTTTTGTTACAGTTACGCACAAGCAGACGTACGTACAACTTCTGCGCTAGTGACGCGGCCGCTGCGCAGGAGTGGATCGAGAAGCTACAGGCCTGTCTGCAGTGAGCACTAGTGCTGTACCACGGTATTCAGACATCGATGTATATCAAGAGTTCACGCTCACGACTCACGAGGTGAAGTATCTGTCGATAGATCAGGCGGCAGTACTAATCGATAGTAATCGAATGACGCGACTCGATTCAGAGTTATCGATATCGAGACGAATCGATTGTTGGAAAAAATCGTTTTAATACATCTAAGACTCGATAGAAATGTTATTACAAGACTATTATTTTTTGTTTTTATATTAATTACAAGTTGATTTAAATGAATATTATTCCTGGTTTATGTTCGGCCAGGCACGTTGAACATTGACAGTAGTTAATTTAATTTATGAAGTTTATAGTGTTGTCCCGCGGGGGGTAGGCAGACAGCTTGGTAATGTTAAAATGGATGTGTAGGGCTATGATCTCGATGCGCTGTTAATATTGACTTTATGGATTGTTTTTGTGAGATATAAATGATACAATGATACAGCAGATATATATATATACGAATGGATTGCATTGGAATGAATAGATAGATGGTAGTTATTGTAAAGAACATTTTAATAGATCCATCCATTTCTTTAAGAACAAATTGTAACCTGATTTCAATGAACCTTTTGTAACAAAAATACTCCTGAAATACAAACAATATTTTTCAGAGTAATTCCCAAGCATACTTTTTTTTTATAAAAATCGTTAAATCAAACTTTTAGAGAAACTGTTTTGTATTATAAGTTCTTTTAAACTGTCAAACACCGCGAGGACACCGGTGACTGCAACCTATTGTTCTTTAATTGTGTCTATAATGACGGTACTCAAAGGGTAATCAATATAGGTATCAATTCATAATCGTCATATTTGAGTATCCTGAAAACATGATACTCATTCTAAGTAGAAATAAAGTCAAATACAAGTATTTTGCAATGTTATAATAATAATCTCACAAAAACAATTCAACAAAATATACATAGTTTAATAATATCAAAAGTATTTATATAATAAAATAAAATAATTATTATTAATAATAAAGAATTAGTGTCGTATGTTTCTCGTTTGTAAATAATGTAACGATGACTGTTGTGTAAAGAGTTCGATTCCAGTTTGTGTAATGTTATGTTGTTAGTTTACGTTAGATGTTATTTGTATTGTTTTTTTTTTGTAATGTTTTTTATGACGAGGCGGCTTTGTGTTGGGACATTGCGTTTTGGAAATATCGAAATTAGATTTCTGAGCTGTATTTTTTTTAATGGATGAATTTTTTTTTGTTCTGATCCTTGTAGTATGCATTTAATACCTCCACTGTCACTGTCAATGTAGGCAGATATTAGTGGAGGATTTGCCTTCAAAAATGTTTAGTCAGCAATTAAAGCTTACCTACTTAAGATTGTAATGAAAGTACACACGGCACACGGTTAGACAAATATTCTGATTTTAATACAAATCGCTTTATATGAAGACTATTTTAATTTAATGTCAATGTATATGTAAACGGTTCTGTCTCAACACCGACGAAGCTACCTACGGAATATAATTACACCGTACACAGCTAGCCATAGAACGCTATACTTAGTTCTAATAAATGTAAAGTCTATATAATTATATAACGTTCGGGAATCTCGTTCCAACCCCACAACTTGTTACATACTCATTTTTGTATGATTTGTAAATAAGTACACGATTTTTTGTTCCACATATCAGGTAGGGGGCGCCACCGTGTGTGTACATACATAGCTCATGTAAATATTAACGTTATGTTTCTGTAATTGCATTTATTATCACGATTGGTGGGTTATGAGAGAGCGCTTACTGGTCTTACAACTGTGTAATACTCAAAAATTAAGATGGAAACTTGAGATTAACTTAACTTGAATGCATATGTCGTTGTGTACAAGACCAGTTGTTATTCGCGCAGAGATTATTGTGCCAAATATGCACAAAGTGCACCGTGTGAAGTGATTTGTTCATAAGCGATGGCTTCAGAGCTAATAGCAATATTGTTTGCCTTATTTTGCATACGAAGTACTGCTATACGCTTTGGAATAGAGGCGACTGTGAAGTGGTACAAGTTTATGAACAAAACTGGAGTTTAAAATCAATTATTATAAGGGTTAAAAGTTTAAAACTACTTCAGAGCTCGCCCAAGTGTAGTAGAAGTTAGCTTGGCTTCAACAAGACGTGACAAGATGAAGCCTATTGCTGTACGTGCAATATAAACATGTTATGTAATTATTCAAGTTTGCACTCATTTGTCGAATTATGTGATGTAAAAATGACTGATTTTTATGTTTGTGATTAGCACGTGTAGTCATTATTTTTCATCGTTTTATTGTATTGTTATTTCGTTGTTTCACTGTACGGCAGTAGGCTGAGGTAACCCTGTGACAGTGCACTCGCGTACCATCAAATAAAGAGATTTTTAAAATTGTTGTTTGTGTTTTTCTTTCCAATTTCACATTCCCCTGAATTTTTTTAAGCTCCTAAAAATATAAATCTTTACTTTTAACCTAGATCTCTACTTTCATAGGGTAAACTATATTATAACGACGTTGCAATTAATTTCGACGGTAGTATAGCTTAGGATCGGATTTGAAAATTCTGCAATATCTCGAAAACTAGATGTCCTAGCTAAAGAATAATGAAATTTTTGATCCCCCTATAGTCACTCACCCATAAAAATATATTTGCCGATTGACCTTGCGACGAGTTAGGCAGAAATGGACTCTTCAAAAGTTTGACAGGGGGAGTATCTAAAGAGGGGCTCGAAAATTCCAAGCGGGCTAGAATAAATATTTTTGTTGAAATTAATAATTATGGTTTTATTTCCAACTTAAATATCAGTCATATTAATTCTCCACGGAATCTTGGTCCAGGCCTTGTCATATTCTTTATTACAATACGTCTTATTAGTATTGAAAATGTACCTAGTTACACAACCACATCTATAATTATGACTACAAGAATACAGTACATAATAATTAACTATTATCCATTTACATCTATTTCGACAGTTTTATCTATCTATTTAGCCGGACCTGCGCCTTACAACAGACGATGCACCGGTGTGCAATACTGCCTCGATATATTGAACACACCTAGCCTAGCTTTGGGGCTAACTTAGTCTTACTCACTAAATGACTACAGAATTAGCAATATGTCTACGCTAAGTATTCTAATGCTGACTAAGGCAGATAGATGGGTGCTATAAAAACGAGGTTCCCGTCTACTGGACAATCAGGGAGGAACCAAATATTGTCTGTCTATTGAGAACTGTAATTAAACAGGAAGTATTCTTGTAGAGTGACTCCCGATGGTCTCATCTGGGATGACGTAGCAGCTCACACTATACTGGTACACGCTGCCCCATGTCTCTGCTTTTCTTCCTAGTCATCACGCTACCTATCACCGATAAATCGGCAGCGAGTGAGAGAGTGGCGGGTTATACAATATCTTAGAGGACTTGGACTACGTCGATCGTCGATGACCTGCGACAGGAGGTGGCAAAACCAGGACCCGGTGACGAGGTGAAAATGAACACCCAAAATGCCAAGAAGGTGAGAACTAGTGCGAAGAATCACACCGGAATGCATCGACAAAACCTACTTTGGGAGCGTCGTGTTAGAAACTGGGGGTAGTGAAGAGGGCATTGCTTCAAGAATTGCCAAATCGCTGATTACCTTCGCCTAGTTGTGACCTTTTTTGGTGGACACGGTAACTGACTCGAAGGATTCAGCTCAAAATCTTCGGGTTCAATGCTTTTGTCTGCTTTACAGGCGAGATATGTAGAAAGTCACCAAGGACTCGCATGTTTTCTAAAAGTTTTTAACCGTGCTATCAAAACCCGATCGACCTTGAGATTGAGATGAAAGGGAGAGTGGATTGGTGAATTGGTGGATTGGTCATTCCCCATAATATACTTAACCCAAGCAAGCTTTCGCCTGCCGACTGTTATCCGACCCCAGGAAGAGAGTACGGAACCAATCTCAATCAATAAATCATTGACTGCATAGTTGGCGCGGTGGTTGGGTAACCGACTTTTTTTTTAGAATAATTCAGTAAACGAGCATACGGATAGGATGGTAAGCAATCGGCGTCGCCAATGGACACCGACGACACATGGGCGTTACAAATGCGTTACCGGCCTTTTTTTGGCTGCCGCGCAACATGCGTTGTTGTTCTAGGTCTGCGTGTAATGTATATGTGAAATTGTATGTTTGTAAACGCACCCGACACAGGAGAAAATCCTAGTGTGGGGCAACGTTAAAAAAATCCAGTTGCAGAAAGGCGTGAGACAGGTAAACGTGATTTCTTCGAACCTGGTCACTAACGCATTTGATGACGTTTTCAAGTTGAACTAGAGTAGACTGGGCATCACTATCAATGGCGAATACATCACACACCTCCGCTTCGCCGATGACATCATGGCGGAGTCGCTGGAGCACCTAAACATCATGCTCAATAAAGTGACCTCAATACCATCTCCGAACAGGTGTGTGTTAAAATGGACGAGGACAAATACCAAAATCATGTTAAACGTCCATGTTGCACCTGTGCCTGTCATCGTTGGGAACTTTGGGACCCATCGCGTCATCATAGATACAACCATGCATGTGACGCGATATTGCTACTACCACGTGTGGTACGCTATAATGGATTTTATTACTTCGTTGCTGTACTCACAACAATCACCTTCGCGCAGGAAAGCCCCTGACCCTTATGTATTGTGAGGACGCGTGACCCCACGGTTAAGAACCAGGGATATGGGTTAAGGGATTCCTTTTCTGCCTGAGTGTGTATCAGGTCACAATGGCTCCACAGTGGTTCTTGAGAACCTCATCTACAGACGATGGCAGTTCTCTCGCTCCCCCAAGCCGTTTACTGGAATGGACGTCGTTTAGTTTACCTTTGAGGTTATTGGCTGTTGGTGTATTGGCACCATTTCACCGGGCTTAGCCTTCCTAATGAATGGCAGCACATCTAAAATAAGTATGCGGCGCAAAACGTATGACGCACTGTCAGAAATACAACTGTTGGGTCGGAGCTGTTGACTATTGCGAACACGCAATAAATCAATTGCAATGTTTTCCAGCGTCTACTCTGACTTGTTTTGAATAAGCTTGCAGGGTGCTGTCAAGCATGGGTAGGCGGGGAGTAGAGAAGGGTACAAATTCCAGAATAATTAGTGGGGACGCTGCCGTGGTGGCTTATGAGAAAGGGAAAACGGCAGACCTTATAGGATGTGTCAGGGCTTCAGAACATCATGAAGTCATCGTGTACGAGGACAGCGGCGAGGACTAGAGTGTCCTCAAAAAGCCAGTTTAGCACCCGGGTGGGTTCTCCAAGCAGCTCAGAGCGTATACTACGAAGTCATTCTTACTACCAATTTTTATTTGTTACTAGTTGTTGCTCGCGACTTTGACGAATATGAATTTTGACACATAACTTTTTTCTTTCAATTTCTCAAAATAAAAGTGGCTTAATGTTACTCCTTACATCAGCTAACTGCCAATAAATATCCAGTCAAAATCGGTCTAGCCATTCTAGAGATTACCTAGTACAAACAGACGGACAGAAATTGTAAATAATGTTATTTTAGTATGTGTATCGTATTTATATTTATATGCATGTAGTAAAAGTGGTTATTTAGCTAATACAAACACACTCTAATTTTATTTAGATAAATAAAATTTCTAGGTCTAAAAGTCCTAGAACGTTGGAACAAATATGATATAGATTGTTGTGGCTATCTAAAGGCCAATTCATGATGAAGTGTTGATACATAAATAAAACGCACAAATACCATATGTAACAATTTTATTTTACCAATATTCATAATATATTAACATATGTGGTCCAAAACCACCCTCTTTGATAATTATATAATACAAAGAATTTCTCACAAATGGTCGCTGAACTTATAACAACGAAAACAAAACAGCTACAGACTAAGCGCGACCGACTGTTGACAGGTCAGTGATACTCAGCCTCGACTAACGTAATGACTCCCACTATAATTACACAATACAACAATATTTAAAACGAGGTATAAAAGGGAAAAAGAAAAGATTAAACATTTCTCGTAATATATTAATAATCGTTACTGTTTATTTAACCTAAACGAGAGGGCGCCAGCTGTGAACACGGGTTGCAAGTACCGCGGCGCTACACAATATTAGGCCTTCGCTCAGTCCGGCTGCGCCCCCTGTTATCTTACATACATTATTAATGCATTTTACATTATATACAATGGGAAATAAATATTCTATAAGCACGACGAGATATATTATAATCGTGTATGTACATAAACACAACTAGCGTGCAGTGGCGACCACTGTCCAGTACCATTATATCACAAAAATATAAATCCCATTGCCGCCTAAACGTATCATTTGTTATCTAATTATTTATATTGGCGTTCACTTTTTGGCTTAGCTAAATTCCTCATCGATATTATTAGAGATGTACCGGCTACAATATCGGTCTACTCATCGATTTGGGACCCGATATATGTTCAAACTGTTTGATTTCACCTACGTAGGTCGACATTGCTTTTATACACTTTATATACAACTCATCTAAGTAGACGTTATTGCTAGTTACACACAATACAGTTACCCACTAATCAAGTAGTCGATACACCTCCGAGTCGCTCGCGCGGTCGTCCGGTACGGCGCGTGTACTGCGCGTATACTGCGCGACTACTGCGCGACTACTGCGCGACTACTGACGCTTGACAGTGGATGCGGCGCAGTGTGACTACAGTTACAAATAAACAATTTTTGGTTTCCATATTGTACCTACAAAGAGTTCCATCCAAAAATATTCAAACACCGTCTTACTTACATTTTAACAAAACCATTAAAAAGTTGATTTCAATTTTCGTTTTTATAGAAACGTACAAAATTTTAGGTCGAAAATGTTTCAGTAAGAAAATCGTCTTGTTAAATATATCAAAAACAGCTCGATCCATAGGGTATGGGGTTCGATGTCGAGTGGAATGATATCATAAGACGTATTAAAGCTGAGTGCTGCGTTGAGTGACGGTGTCAAGTAAATATATCTATAGCTATTCGTATAGAAGTAAACACATCGTTACATCTGAATGTACTTAACATCTGTTACTATTATAATGACTACATCGTGACTCGTGAATATAAAACGGAACAATTTTATAACCTGTCACGCGTTCACATAGTATCGTAACATACATCTGTACTGTGCGCCCGTAGAAATGAATGAACACCACTAACTTTCTCCACAAACATTCGATAACTGTACTTAATACTGCATAGTTAAGGGTACATTAATTTTATCATAAGGGCCTGTTTTATATACAACTATTTTTATATATTTACGTTTTATGGTACATATAATACTTATCAAAGCTTTAATATGGGGTATTGGTAAAATTTAAGACTTCTTAAATGATACCAATACGTTAACAAACGAGGGAAGCAGGAGCGATACACTGCACGTAGAGATATGCCAGCTAAGTAGTAATATCAGTCGACTATTTAAACAACATTAAATTCTGCTAAGGCCAACATCTGCTTGTTCTAAGCATAGAGTGCAATTTGTTCCTAGATTCATGAAAATATTTTTATTATTTTCCACAAGTTAGCGCGTTCGTTCACCTCTAGTGCCGCCGCCCACAGTGCACAGTCGACAGTCCGGGCCGTGCGCCGGCGCGGGCTAGTGGCCCACTGGCTCCACGTAGTTGGCCGGGTACAGGCCCACTCGACCGTCCTTGCGACCCTTGCACCAGCCCTGTTCATCTTCGTCTTCTAATTTTTCGAATAAGTCCCCTGAAACAAGAAAATTATTATTATTATTTTGCTTTATTTATTACTACGGAGTATTGATATAATGGAGTGCTAGGTGCGGCGTGGTGCAAGTAATGCATGGATGTTACCGCGGCAGCTGTGAGAGCGGGGCGGGGCGACGCCGGCGACACTCCCTCGGCACATCGCACTAACTGACCGTTTCGTTCTAAGGAGAAATATGGGTATTAGCACCCCATTCATTGCCTACTTCATGAAGGAATTGGGCCTGAGGCATGATTATACACGCTTTTCGTCCACTACTGGACATAGGCATCAATAGCACGCTACTAAGTTCGATCCGATTCTTCTATCCCAGACTACAGCGCACTGTTTTTTGTCATTCACAAAAAGACAGTCTTATAATTAGAATAATGCCTCCCATTTTTCAAACAACAATGCCTAAAACACCATAAATGCATCCTTTAAAACTAAACACCATGCTATAGTTCTCTCACCTTGTCTGAAGCTGAGTTCGTCGCTCTCCGCGCCGGTGTAGTCGTACAACGCTCGCACCGGTACGCCCGGCTCGCCCGTGTCAGTGAGTGCTCCGCCCGACTCCTCGTCCCACTCGTCCTCGTCGAACGGGTTCTCCTGTCCTTTAGTGCTGTCCTTAGCCGGCGATGTCTTGTTCGATTTAGGCGCTGCTGCTGTACCATTGCTGAAATAATTAAGAAATAAAAGTAAATAATTGTGTGATCTTAAATATTTTTGAACCCGTCGAGCGTCCGCGTTTCTTATTCATTTCCTTATGCATGCAAGAAAATGCATTTATTTGGCCATTGGCACACGAAAACAAGGATCATTACAATAGAAATGAAACAAATACAGTCAAAATAAAAACAAAACATTAATAATAGATTTTATAAAAGAGAAAGCAGTATGGAGCATTTTTTCTTATGATCCACCGGATGCTCATAAGGATGCTCGAGGGGTTAAGGGTGAAATACAAAGTACTGGTTTGACGATAATATATTATAGAGATCAAATTATTTGAATCTAAACAACTGGGGCTTTTAAATACAATTATAGAGATTGAAACACATGGGTATAGACAAGAACTACGCCACCTACTTCTACGTATAGGGCAAAGGTATTTAATTGTATTTATTGTATCTATGGATTATGTATCCAATCTTAGCTACTAGTTACATTTCAAAATACAAGACATCGTATTACGATACATTATTATTTTCTTAAGATTCTGCCTCGTTGGCCGAGTGGTCGTAAGTGCGACTGCCGGGCAAGGGGCCTCGGGTTCGATTCCCGGGTCGGGCAAAGTATTACTACTGGGTTTTTAAATATTCTCAGTAGTAGCACGGAGTCTGGAATTGTGCCCGGTATATGGCAATAGGCTCACCCCCTATTACATGTGACTCATAACATAAATAGTGAAAAGTGGGTGTTACATTGTACAGTGGTATAATGTGCACCTCTGCCTACCCCTTCGGGGATAAAAAGGCGTGATGTTATGTTATGTATGTTAAGATTATAGTCTATTGTCACAATATTAGCTACATAGATCAATTACAAGGACTACACTTAAAAACCCCTTAACTAAAAGAGAAAAATAAATAATATCTACAAGAGTATAAAATCTAACGGCTCATAGAAGGTGTCGCTCATATCTGTGATAGTGAATTGTGAGCTGTTAGCGACGTCTGGTTTCATTGACAGGCGCACAAGATGGCCGCTGAATGACTCGTCGAGCGTACGCGCACAGCCGGGCGCGCACGCGAATATTTCAAGACGTTCGATACTAGGAAAGGAGGGGGATAGAGTTGGAGTTAGGTTAAGTATAGTTTTGTATCTAAACGAACGACAAACGACAGGTAACTCGTCGTTTGTCACGCAATGCTACTCATGACTTAGAGTCCCTAGTGTAGCTTGAAAATAGTCGGGTTACCTCGTCAGACAGTTATGCATATTTCAGTTTTTGGACATTAAAAGGATAAAAGGATAAGGATTCGTCACTTTCAGTAGGAGAACACTGCGACCGGTACGTGAATCTTTCTCCTTTCTCATCTTATTAATTTTCGGTGACAGCAGTCGCCAATCCTACCAAGCTTGGGGATTATGACAAATCGTATCTTAAACCCAACGTGCAGGTATATTCTTGGTATTCATAAAGTAGATACTTACGTAACAGCAATAGGCGCACTGATGCTCTTTTTATCAATAGTGTTGTTAGCGCTGGCGGTGTTGTTGACGACTGTTGTCTGCGCCGGCGCAGCGTCCGTGTGGTTGGCAGCCTTGCTCGTTTTGTTGTTCGTGTTGTTGATCGGTGGCAGTTCCTGAAGTTGGTACAATGACATTTTTTTATAAAATCATAATTATTATTAGTCATTTTATTATTTCGTGTCAAAAGACCTAATTATTTTTATTATTTAAATTAGAATAAGTATTTAATTGTCACGTTAAATATGTTTACGTCCCCCGCATAATAGGGTTTACAAAACTACTTACGAAATGAAATGAATTTTTATTATTTTATTTTAATGTTTAATAATTTGGTCCTTCGACATTAGTATTATAAAAAAATATATAATTTCATATCTGTATTATTATAAAGATCAATATTTTAATATTTACTTATAGATATTCTTTTAGAAATACATAATATACTATTATAATTAACTAATATAGATTGATATACGAGTGTTAAATTGTTAATTCATGCCAATATGCATAAAATTGTAGAGAAAAGCGAACATCCATCATGCAACATCGATATAACAAAAAAATATAAAAAAAATACATAAAAATATAAAAAAAATAGATCAAAATGAGAATGACCTCATCCCTTTAGAAAACAAACTACTTTAAACATGCTACTAATAAAAAGCAGAAATTACCAATCCGGCTTTATATGATTCATTCTCATTTGAATCCTATTGTTTAAGATCGTACGGTTGATATTCGTACAACACTGTGACGCAGCGGGCGCGTGCGTGACGTCATCGTACGTACGACTGCGATGGTGCGTACTTTTTTATGACAAGAGAAAAAATAGATTTTTTGACAATGTCCTTTTAGGGGGACAAAATTTCAGATTAATTGAATATTTAACGGATTGGCAAAACGAATTATACCAATTTTTCAGAAACACTTAATATGAAATTGTCATATAAAATTATTATCTGTATTTAACAAAGCTAAAATCATTGCTGAAACACGCAATGATTGTATCACCACCATCGCGGACGTTCGTAAACTGATATAGAGGGTGTAACATAACGCAAAACGTTATTACATGGTGTCCCAACTTACAAAACTGAACAACTTTTGCTCTACACATTTTGATAATTCACAAAACATATTAAACATAATATTGAGTATTTGTGAATTATCAAAATGTACAGAACAAAACATTTAATATTCCATAGGTTGGGACATCACATAACAAAATTTTAACGTATACATTACACACTATACAGACACTAGCACATGAACCTACCCCAAAACTAACAAAACAATTTCCAACCTTACCCCTTAGGCATAAAGTTGCAAATGTATTTTGCAGTTAAGGGTAGCTTTATATGCTGTTGTCGTTGTTAACTAAAGGTGGTTGAACATACATCTTCGCTGACGGGTCGTTGGTTGAGCAGTGTGATGGGCCCAGTAGGCAGGCTCTCCTTGGACTTGCCCTTCGCGATGTCCCGGAACTCCTCAGTGTACTCCTGCTCAGCGACACACACGTCACAAGCGATCACGGCGGAGACGATCATACGTTGGGAAAAAAATAATTAAAAAATCTTAAAACAAAAATTACGGCTCGATTCGTTTCGGCCGTCTTCTGTTTAGATCCCTGCTTTAGGTCGAAATTGGTAGAGAACTGATAATGTATTTATAACCACTATCAATATAATCATTTTCTTCTTTAAATAGTACTTTTTTATATTGTTTTTTCCCAACGTCTGATCGCTCGAATGCAAAAAAAATGTAATTATTAAAAAAAAGTAAACATAGACACGTCCATACAAAGCCGGTGTTCGTTAGAAGGTACTATGAAGCTTGCACTAGTTGAGGGGGCTACAGAGATAGACACATGCTATTAGGTAGTAATAAATAAAGTAACTAAAAAACATTGTCGGTCCTTCGAGGCGAAGGATTTACATAAAGCTGAAATGTCGATTTTAACTTTTAAAAAGAATAAAAATTTAATTTAACTTTGCCTAAATTTTATGGCTTAACTGCTAAACCAATTGTGATACATTTAAAACTGAGATAGTTTTGAACAGGAATCGAAATTTTATTAGTCTTATCATAACGATGAAAATATTATTGAAGTTTATTAATTAAAAATAGTTCATAAATACATTTTTCACTATGTATTTTAGTCTATGCTTGTCAATTGTCAATGGTATCCATTTTGTTTTTTTTAAGGAGGGAAAATCATCGAATGTCTGTACTGCCTGAGTGAGGCGGGAGGGAGTGTCAGACTCTTACTGACTAAAAACCACCCCGTTCCTACTCCTACACTTCGAGCCGGAGCCCCGGTAATCCGTTAGGTTCTCCGCGACTCAATGGTATCCATAATATTATAATTACCTGGTCCTTTTTCTCACAAAATGGTGGATGTCTCCAATACCAGTGGCATCTAGTGGTATTGCGTGCTTTACTAAAACATTTTGCTTTTATTGCTACCTGTACTTCAGTGTGGATGAGTGTACATGAGTGCAACCTTTCAAATCGAATCCATACCGATTATACCGATTCCCGGAAATCCGAATCACATGACCTAATTTCGTAAAACAGGAATTTAGGAACTGCAGTAGAATCCCAATCATCCGAAACATTTCGATATTAGGATATTGGTTTAGTTGATTGCTGCCACTAAAATGTATTTTTAGACAAATGGGTCGAACTTTAGTGACGGAGTTACAATTTTGCAATCATTTTGTAGGGTTTAAGAATTCATGCTTTTTTTTTTGCTGTGCTGAATGTTTCTGATTGGCCGCTGAATAAATAAGTTGTTATTCAACAGCGCGCCGACCAAGTGTAGATGCCCCATGAATGGTGCAGTGATCAACTATGAGCGAAATAGTTCTTTAACACCAATCATCACGGTGTATATTCGTGTGTCACCATCAAACCCTTCGGTGCTTTGCAAAATCATTTGATTTCAATCCGATTAATTGATTGTCGGTATCAAGTGCTGGCTTATGACAGGCGATATACAGTGCATTTTGTGGGAACTAGTCGTTGTATTTAATTATAAGTGTTGCGTAAATTGCGAAGTGAAACACTTACCTTTAGATACAAACATAATAACAATTTATAATTTACAAATCGGTCCTGAGCTAACATTTTAAATACAAATAACCTATATACAAATAGCGTGCCATTTAGGACCTAATATTTAGCACCTGCCCACAAAATCCACAGTCCATCGCCTATTCATAACCCCGTGCTAATTGTGACGCTAACAATAGACATTATAAGACCCATACTTTGACAGAAGTGGAACGATCAAGGTACAGGTCTGTGCCTAGAGTTGGCGTGAACCACCGAACCTACACCGTGGTCGTACCATCAGCGGGTTGCTATAGAAACGGCTGCTGCCATAGCACTGGCTGCTGATGACTGAGGGAGCGACGCGGCTGGATGCTCGCTCATCCACACCGAAGCAGAACGTCGGCAGAGCGAGTCGCAGACGGCGGACGGCGCGCGACCACGGCACGGTCGACGGCCGCGCTACCGGTCGCCGCGCGGTCGCAAGCACGCGAGCGAATATCGCTGACGCCTCCGCCAAGTATTTGTTACTTATCGGATCCGAGTCCGGCGTATCGACCTTTATTAATATTTCTTTTAATATTGTTACATTTATGTTCTGGTATGAGTTCTTACTGTCAAGTATGCACTGACCTAAAATGTACATCGCAATGTCGTATCATTATTTACTCAGTTACCTAATTCAGGTTTAATTGCAATATAAAATACCGTGAATAACTTCCAGTGACCAAATATAATTGCGATTGCTTTGAATTAATCAGAATTACTAAAGCAATTAGTCTGCACTTGACCCGAAACGCTTAAAATACTTTTCCCTGTCTAATTCTAGGTCGGTAATAAATATGAAAATATTGCAAAGTTGGAGGAAATCCGTTGGCATTCTTATTTCTTTGTGAATTTTGAAGTATTTGTCGGTTGGTTTGCGAGGTAACAGTAGTGTTGAAATGTTGTTATCTTGATTAAATACCGCCTTTGGTTTGGCATTAACAAACCTTGATAAGAGAATTGTTTGAAGGTCTAACTACAAGCGTAGTGACCGCACACTGAAAGGACCAAAAGATTTCGGGACAAAGGACCAATTTTTGAGGGCGTAAAGGCAGTTCTAAACCTGAACTAATACAACCTTGAACCAACATAATAGAAAAGAGGAAACATCAATATAATCTACTTGGCAGTGTGCAGCCACCAAATTGTTTAGTTACTCATAAAAAATCTAAGAAGAATTCTAAACATAACAGAAATAACTAAGTATTGTAAGTTTACCTAAATCTAATAAAGGAATAGTTTAGAATAGATATAAATATCTTATACATGCGAAGTTTTTACTAACACGACTAATGCCCTTAGACATCTATGGCTAAATATTACAGATTTTTATTAAGCCATGGTGATTACCAAAAAAACTTTCAATCTTAGACACCCTCAGTGAAGGTTTAATTTCATTTGTATACAGATCATGACATAAACAATGGATTTTTTTGGTGTCCAATAGTATATTTATAGTCTCTGCCCGTCAAAAGACTGATCAAATTCTCCAGGTAGGCTCAATTCTACACTAGCGCCACCAGTAGTAAACTAAAGACTAATCTGACTTCTAATCACCATGGTTCAACGAAACCCGTACCTAAAGACTGTATGCAGCTCAACGTACAAGCATTCTCGTTAGATGCATATAGTACTCGAAATTATCGCATAGATAAGTATGCATTGCGGAGTGAGTGGGAGAGGGTTGTTTGCAGGCTGTAATGAGAGCAGCAATGTATGTTACCTCGAACTGTGGCCAGGCCATTGCCATGTTGATGCCATGGTTGTTGGCCCACCACTTCAGGTCCTTCTGACTGTCTGCGTTGTTTATCGTATGGTGGAATTCTTCGTAGATTTGGGGTAATCTGGAACATTTTGTTGGTGTGTACAGGTTATGTTTTAGGATTAAAGTTCAAATTTTAGAATAATTAGTCTTTTAAGAGACTCAAAATTAATATACAACAAATTAATATAGGGATTTACCGTGTCAGGAAAGACATAAGTACTTATACAAAATCATGGTCAATCCTTGTGAACCAATTGGCATTCACCTAGAAAGACTTGGCCGTTTTCACCACCAACCCTTAAACTATCTCGTAACTTTATTTGTGCTATTAGGTATAACTTATAGGTAACTCATACAAAATGCCGTAAAGTGACGCCTATCTTAGCTTTTTTTTTTTTTTTTTTTTTTTAAGTGGGGAAAATCATCGAATGACTGCTCCCGCCTGGGTGAGGCGGAAGGGAGTGTCAGACTCTTACTGACTAAAAACCACCCCGTTCCTTCTCCTGCACGTCGAGCCGGAGCCCCGGTTACCCTATCTTAGCTTAGGGGTTCCTTAAAGTTTATAAACGTTGGTGAATAATACTCACGAAGGTTCTTGACTGATATTGAGGCACTTGTGGAAGCTGAAGAGAACGTCTTTGAAGAATTTGAGCCTCTGTGCCTCCATCTGTTGGCAGCGCTCGAAGACTCCGGTCATATCTTCAATGTAGCGAGGGTTGTATGCCGTGATCTCTGCCAGTGCCGATTGATACTTTTCTCTACTTTTCGCAACTTCTTCGCGACATTTGGCCACCCGTTCCGCCATTTTCTTTACCTGTGAACAATCATCGTTTGATTATTTAGTCTTTCTGATTTTTTTGAAGATGAATTTGTGGTTGAGGATCTAAGTTACAAGTTGGTGTTTTGTCTATACATTTGTTATAATGCTAGCGTACACTTAACACAATTCTAATTACTTAAGCAATCATGATAACACAGTCTATCAATAGACAAAATTCCTTTCTGTATTTTACAGAAAGAAACAATCATACACTCATTTTTTCAATTAGAACTAGATCCACGTTTACAGTGAAAACGCTGTACAAATACAATATCTTCAGCGTATAATTCCAAACGCCTGCAACAGCGTTCAACATGGACATAATAGAATTGTAAGAGGAGGGTAGCGGGGTGTAGCGTGGTGAAGCGCGGGGGGGGGGGGGGTGTCGCAAATTGTCCACGTCCGCCGGCGACGCGCCTAGACGTCAACGCATAAGTATAAACACCCTGTATAATAGTCAGTGTATAGGCTGTTGCTATTATTGCAGCTAAAGTTTTATCGTGGCTTTTGGATTTAACTAATTATGGGAGGCTTTTCAGTGCTTGGGTATTGAATTAAATTTTGTGTTTACGGATATGGAAGTCTGTTAGTTGGTTTGTACGTAAGCAATTCTTCAAAATAAGGTGTAGGATAGGTAAGTAATAGGTCTCGGTTTCAAATAAAAACTATGTTTTAACTTGGCATCCAGGATGCAAGTAAACACAAATTTACTTACAAATTATTTACCACACAGTTACTATAAAGTTGACAACCCTACAAGCCACAACAGGGTTGCCTCTAATTGGATAACTTTGTCACCGTACACGGCGTCGCTGCAGTGAACTCATTTAACTCATAATAATATTTACATAAAGTTTAAATTAACATAGCAAATTGTTTTACCTACGAAATACAATTATTATGAAATTAAAATATGAGAAAGGCGAAGCTTGAGGGCAGATATTAACTGATGCTGGAGATAAGGTATTGTGGATATGATCCACTGGTAGTCAGCCTGAGTTTCGAATTTGCAAACCGTATTATAGAGGGACTGCTTCTTCGGCCGAGTGGTCGCAAGTGCGACTGCCGGGTAAGTCTCGAGTTCGATTCCCGGGCCGGCAAAGTATTACTGGGTTTTAAAAAAATTCTCAGTAGTAACACGGAGTCTGGAATTATGCCCGTTATATGGCAGTAGGCTCACCCCCTATTACATGCGACTCATAACATAAATATGTAGTGAAAAGTGGGCGTTACATTGTAAGTGGCATAATGTACACCTCTGCCTAACCTTTGGGGATAAAAAGCGTGATGTTATGTCATGTATAATAGAGGGTGAGTCTGTACACTGTATGTAGATCTTTTCAAAAGACACATAAAAAACAATAAAAAAAGAATTGAACCTGAGACCTCTTATAAGAGTATGGATTATTGGAGATAATTAATCCTACATCTATCGTTACTACACACATGGCTTCTATGCTCATAGTAAAAGTAGGACGTGCAATATGTGGGTGGAAACCCTACAGCTAGGGTTGTCACTAATTAGATCACGTGGCGACGCGATGGAAGAAACGAGTTAATTTACTCATAATTATAATACGGCCACTTCGTAGAAACGTTGCGATCTCTTTATTAAGAAATATTATTATAAGGATAAAGAATTAGCCTTGTTCTTACCACCGGAAATACATATAAAAGGCTTTTTTAAGGGGGAAAATCATCGAATGACTGCCCCCGCCTGGGTGAGGCGGGAGGGAGTGTCAGACTCTTACTGACTAAATACTACCCCGTTCCTTCTCCTGCACGTCGAGCCGGAGCCCCGGTAACCCGTTAGGTTCTCCGCGACACACATAAAAGGCTAGGTAGGTATCTTGTAATTAAATTTAATAAAAGATAAACAAAGGAAAAGATTTAATTTGATGATGGTTAGATATTGTATATATTTTATAAGCAATTTGTAAAAAAATAGTTTCTACGTGTAACAGTTTAAATCTAGCTTCTATCTACAGTCTACATAAATAAAAGCGAATAACCAAAATGTATGATAAGGTAAACTCCTGAACTGCTCGACAGAATTTGATAATTATTTTTAAGAAAAACTCGACACATTTTCGGGGTACATCAGCAACCAAACAATTCCTAAATGGGCCCGTACTTTACAACATTAATTACAACTTCTTTCATACTACACAATTTTGAAAAAAAAAAACACCAAAATATAACTATTGAAATCTATTGCAACATCAAGACGAGATTCAATACAAACATTAGCATAATCACTAGCGAAAATAGTAAGGACAACAAAGGAATATTCTTCTATAATAAACACCTTTCTAAAGTTTGTCCCTGATGTACTGGTATACGAAAAATCATTGTCTTCACGCAGAACGGCAGAACACACAGAATAAGAGGTAATTATATATTACTAGCTACTTCCGTACAGTTTCACTCGCTCTGCTTGGCGCCTATTAATCGTAGCGTGATATTTTATAGCCTATAGCCTTCCTCGATAAATGGGCTATACAACGCAGAAATAATTTTTCAAATCGGACCAGTAGTTTCGGAGATTAGCGCGTTCAAACAAACAACCAAACAAAAAAACAAACTCTTAAACTTTATAATACTAGTATAGATTAATGAGCAAACGTACAGACAAAACTAGCGATAATTACTATAGTAGATACTTATAGTAACCTTACCAATAACACCCGCTGATTGTGTTGCAAAATAAACAAATGATAAAATTAAAAAACAAAATTAAGAACAAAACTCATTCAAATCTTGTTAGTTAAAAATAAAAATTAAAAAATCAAACTTCAATGTGCTTTCTCGTCGCAATCTTAACGAAACTGTTGTTTGTATGAAGAACGAAAATACATTTTTAAAATGAAAACAAGATATTTCAGTAGGCCACTTTAACAATTACAAATAAAAAAACCTACTAACCATAATAAATCCCAATTACACCTTTTATTACGATTAAAAACGAAAAGTAAAGTAAAACAAAAATTATACCGTAAAAAATATCAGCACATGAAACTATGTACTCTAAACTGCCAAATGAAAAAAAAAACAATTTTACCGCCAAAATGAATTTTTAATCTACATTTATGTTGTACAATATGGAGGTGTCACCAACATAGGTACGGCGATAAGTAAGTCAGGTACGGTTATAAGTAAGTGCCGTCTAGATCGGATGCTGACTAGATGTCGGCATCGTGTCTCAAGGGCTATCCATCTGTCGCTACATCAGCGAATAGGGGTGTCGTAGAAAGGTGAAGATAAGGTTCACGGTATTTAAGGGTGACTTTATGCGTAAATAAGACGACTAATTTTTATTTTAATGTCCGTCTGATAGATTATTTAAAAACATTAGACACGTATTTTTTATTTTCTCACAGAAACGAATAGTTTCAAAGATATATTGATTTGAAATGTCGCGTGACGTCACTTCTCAGTACATTTTATACTAAGAAATGACGTTTTAGCCCCCACTCTTAAACTTTGATTCGTTTTATCTAAGTATTGTTTTATTATACGACAAAATAAAAAAATACGTGTCTAATATTTTTTCATTACCTAACTTACGGACTAATTATATTTTTAATTTTCATACCCTGTCATCATCCCCATTGCGAAAAAAGAAATCTTTTCAGTTGTGATGTCTTAGTATTGTATTGTTCTTAGTATTGATTGACAACACGGTTAGCGCAGTGCCTGGGCAACTGGCTGCCATGCAACGTGTTGCGAGTTCGATTCCCGCACGGAGCAACTCTTTGTGATCCACATATTATTGTTCCAGGTCTGGGTGTCATGTGTATGTGAACTTGTATGTTTGTAAACGCACCCACGACACAGGAGAAAACGTTTGTGGGGCAACGTTTTAAAAAAAGAAAGAAGAAAGAAAGTATTAGTATTTTATTTCTTATAGTATAAAAAAGTATAAGTGTACAATAAAACTTGAATAACAAGGACATGTAACCAATGCATATTTGGTCCCTAATGTCCACAAACATTAAAATGAAAATACTACTTAATCACTTGACGACGAGACGCGAAAAAATGACACGTAGTCCCTCAAATTGTCTCTGATAAGCAGATATTCTAACAACCCTAGGTACTTACGGACAGGCATAGGCAACAATCTACCTACGGCAGGAGGGTGCGATTCAATGATGCGACAAATTTGTCGCCTGCCCGTACCTGGATCGTCATTGGATTACATGACGCCGTGGGCTAAGCCGACCCCTGGTTCATAATAAATTGGACACCGGAATTATGGTTATGTAGGGGAGAAACTATCGATTTTCATAATGGAAGGATTTTCTGGGATAAGGATAAAGTAGTAGTAGTATTGGTTAACAACTGAAATTATTGAACATGGAATATAAGAAACATCTAGTTTGGAGTCGCTACTAGTGAATTGGGTAAGTGTTAATAAAAATGAACAGTAAAATCGTCATCATCATCATCAACAGCCCGTGATGAGCAAAGGCGTCTTCTCACTCGCCGTAGGTATGAGCATTAATCACCACGTTTGCTCTATGCAGATTGGCGATTTCAAACTTATAATCAGCAATTATAAGAACAGCAAAACTATAGCGATTGGACAAAGTAAAAGAAAACTTCGAAATAAACAGAACAAAGACAAGTTAACTAGTATAAATAATGACGGATAACCAACTCAAAGTCATAAAATCATCACAAACGACATGTAATGGTGTAAATCTGTGCAGTAAGCAATTTGCCTGGCCAGTCCAGCCGGATCAATTTACTAAACAACTTGATTTCATTGAGCGACCTCATCATCCACTTGTTGCTATTACAGAGTAAGCAATAGATAAATAAAACCCACACAATGCGCTGAGATTTATTCTGCAGTATGATGTAGGAAAAAAGCTGAGAAGTACCAGTTTGTTTTCTTTAGGTACATTCTAATTTTAATGAATCGAAATTACATTAAAGACGTGAAGTATTTCGCCATTTTTGCCATTTTAAAACTGTACCTGAAATAA